GCCTTTAGTCCTGGCTACTCAGGAGGCTGAGGTGTGGGGATCACTTGAGCCCGGGAGGTTGAGGCTTCAGTAAGCCATGATCATGCCACTGCACTCCTGGGTGACAGAGCAATAAGTCAATCTGACTAATAGCAGATTGTGTCTGTATCAGGCAAGTGTCAAGACTTTTTACATTGTGCCTCAGTTTCATATAATAAGATAAATATGCCAAACCACTTCAAGAAAAGTCGTATTTCACATAATCATAGCAATAATTAATTCCCCAAAGAATTTCTCACAGAACAAGTTGCAACATGATCAGTTAATCCTCCAGTCACTAGAGGATGGTGGTACTTCTTCCCTCAGAGAGAGGGAAGTATCTCCTCAGGGAGGAGACACTGGGTCGTTTGTTGAACACATCTACTGTCCAAAACCAGAAAGCTTTCTAGATTCATCAAATAAATGTCTGCAGTCTGGAAATCAGAACATCCACATTCTAGCCCTAGGATGAACTTAGGTAAGCCACAGCTGCTCTGTGCCCTGCTTTCCACGTGTATAAAATAAAGCTACAGGGATAATTTCTATGGTCTCTTTCTAGATTGAAAGTTCCAAGCTGGGCGTGGTGGCTCAAACCTGTAATCCCAGCACTTTGGGAGGCCAAGGCGGGTGGATCATGAGGTCAAGAAATCGAGACCATCCTGGTCAACATGGTGAAACCCCATCTCTACTGAAAACACAAAAAATTAGCTGGGCATGGTGGCGTGTGCCTGTAATCCCAGCTACTCAGGAGGCTGAGGCAGGAGAATTGCCTGAACCCAGGAGGCGGAGGTTGCAGTGAGCCGAGATCGCGCCATTGCACTCCAGCCTGGGTAACAAGAGCGAAACTCCGTCTCAACAACAACAAAAAAAAGAAAGTTCCATAACAGAAATAAATGATCTGAGAATTTAATTGATTTTGGTGCTTTCTTTCTTTTCTTTTTGGTTGTTGTTATTTGGTTTGTAGGCCAAACTAGAGCTATTTATCTTGAAAAATAGTGCATACTTTTCTGAGATGAGAGGCGTTTCTTCTCTGTGGTATTTTCCCACAGTGTAACCTTCCTTCTCTTTTCATCTGCCACTAGGAGGTGGGTCTCGCTGACTCTTCCTGGTCCATTAAGAAGAAATAGAAAGATCCCGCGTTTTCAGAGACTCTTTCTGGATCATTTCCCATGATCATAGGGCTTTGCAATCCATTTGGCAAAGGTGGTGGTGACAATGGGGTGTTTGGCAAAGTGGATGAGGTGGTTGACGAAGCAGCTGGGGTAAAGAAAAATGCTCTTGGCAAAACATCACGAAACAAGGGTGGAGTGTTCAAAATGGAGAACTTGCATCCTTTGCTGAGATGACTCCGAGAACAACTCTGTCTTTAAGGAGGTATTTATTTAACAGGAAACAAAGGAAAGGGTATCAACAGCAATAACTTCTCTGAGCACATAGCTGAAAAATAGTCTAATACTTTGATTGTAGCCATGTACTGAGACCTCTTTGAACAATGTAGAAGTTAAACTAGACGGGCAGGTATTTTGAAACCAGTCACTAAAATTAAAAATTACATTTAAAATTCTAAATTGTCATCAAATATTAGATAAGAACCTAAGCTTGCATTCCACAAACCCACCCCTCAAATCAGTGTAGGTCTGAATAAAGCCATGGGGCTAAGAGGTTATTTTTACTAAGTCAGCCCTACCCCACTTCCACCCCAAAAATATCTAAAGATGAATGCCTGAGGACCAGCATAACATCTAAATCAACCAAGTGTTAATCTTACTGTCAGTACTCTCAAATACTTGTTAAAATTCCTTTGATGGGCCAGGCGAGGTGGCTCATGCCAGTAATCCCAGCACTTTGGGAGGCCGAAGTGGGCGGATCACCTGAGGTCAGGAGATGGAGACCATCCTGACTCCATCTTTACTAAAAATAAAAAAAAATTAACCAGGCATGGTGGCAGGCACCTTTAGTTCTAGCTACTTGGGAAGTTGAGGCAGGACACTCACTTGAACCCACGAGGCGGAGGTTGCAGTGAGCCAAGATCTCGCCAGTACACTTCAGCCTGGGCGACAGAGCGAGACTGTGTTTCAAAAAAAAAAAAAAAGTTCCTTTGATGTTGGTGGTCATCGGATTTCATAGAAACTTCAGGAGCCAAGCTTTCATCACTTGGCCAGGTGCCTCTGTGTGTGTGTGTGTGTGTGTGTGTGTGTACTTTTTGTTTTTTTTTTTTTTTTTTGCTACCAGTGCTACCAGCTGTAACACGTTAATGACTCTTTGTGGAACACCAGGGACCATTGCTCATCAACCACTTGGGGTAGGAAGAGTGAAAGGAATGAGTGGTTTAGAGCTTAGGACAGGTCTCTGAAGGGAGGAAGGGTTAATAACATCACATTACTAAATCTCTGCAAACTAGAAACACTTCAGAGTAATTGGTGATGTCATTTTATTTACAAATGTGTCAAATCCTTAATGATCGTGTCACCTCAGACTAAAAAAGGTACTTAAAAAAGAGAAAGAAGGCCGGGTGCGGTGGCTCAAGCCTGTAATCCCAGCACTTTGGGAGGCCGAGGCGGGTGGATCACGACGAGGTCAGGAAATAGAGACCATCCTGGTCAACATGGTGAAACCCCGTCTCTACTAAAAATACAAAAAATTAGCTGGGCATGGTGGCGCGTGCCTGTAATCCCAGCTGCTCAGGAGGCTGAGGCAGGAGAATTGCCTGAACCCAGTAGGCGGAGGTTGCGATGAGCCGAGATCGCGCCATTGCACTCCAGCCTGGGTAACAAGAGCGAAACTCCGTCTCAAAAAAAAAAAAAGAGAAAGAAGACGCGAAGTTTGTGTTTAGGGTGTTTTCTAGGTTATCCAAATAAGAAAGTCAGTTCTACCAGGTCTCAGAACTATGAAACTAATGTTACATATCATAAAGTCTTACAAATGAGTACTTATGCTAGGTTTTTTTGTTTTATTTTTTTTGAGATGGAGTCTCGCTCTGTCACCCAGGCTGGAGTATAGTGGCACGATCTCAGCTCACTGAAACCTCCGCCTCCCAGGTTCAAGCGATTGTCCTGTCTCAGCCTCCCAAGAAGCTGGAACTACAGGTGTCCGCCACCACGCCCAGTTAATTTTTTGTATTTTTTTTTGAGACGGAGTTTCGCTCTTGTTACCCAGGCTGGAGAGCAATGGCGCAATCTCGGCTCACCGCAACCTCCACCTCCTGGGTTCAGGCAATTCTCCTGCCTCAGCCTCCTGAGTAGCTGGGATTACAGGCACGCGCCACCATGCCCAGCTAATTTTTTGTATTTTTTCACCATGTTGACTAGGATGGTCTCGATCTCTTGACCTAGTGATCCACCCGCTTAGGCCTCCCAAAGTGAAATTTTTGTATTTTTAGTAGAGACAGCATTTCACTGTGTTAGCCAGTATGGTCTCAATCTCCTGACCTTATGATCTGCCTGCCTTGGCCTCCCAAAGTGCTAGAATTATTGGCATGAGCCACCGCACCTGGCCATTCGTTATGCTAGTTTTTCTTCTCTTTTCCTATTTTTTAAAGAGAAAAGATATTCATCTCACCCAGTAGACAGCTAAGTTATAAAGTAAATAAAACTAGTGTTCTTTCCAACGCATTAGCAATGTTTCTGATTTATAGTTGACAAGTATTTGTCCTTTCCCTGTGCTGACATGTAAGAGTTGGACTGGGCTGGGCATGGTGGCTTTCGTCTGTAATCCCAGCACTATGGGAGGCTGAGGCAGATGAATCACTTAAGCCCAGGAGTTCCATAATAGCCCGGACAACATGGTGAAACCCTGTCTCTACGAAATATACAAAAATTAACCAAGCATGTTGGTGCACACCTATAGTCCCAGCTACTTGGGAGGCTAAAGTGGGAGGATCATCTGAGCCCAGCAAGGTCAAAGCTGCAGTGAGCCGAGACTGTCACTACACTGCAATCTAGGAAACAGAGTGAGACCATGTCCCCACCCCACCCCCCAAAAAAGGCTGGACTATCTTGTAGCACAAGTGAGCCTTAAGAGGCTGGTAGATAAAGAAGAGGAAGCAGTAGCTTTCACCCCGAAAAAGTCTTCATTGGCTTAGTAGCTTGGGCCCTAATTAAAACCATCCCACCTTTATACTTTATGTAGATTTGATACATGTATACATATTTTATACATGGATATGTGTATGTTTTCTTTTTCTTGAGACAGATAAGCAAGATACATAGATATAGATATCCAAACTTATCAACCTGAGGATATTGCTGAAGACATTTTTTAAAATAAAATGTCTGTTAAGAAAATATAAATTTGTCCTCTGAGAGACATAATTATGAAAATGAAAACTCAGTCACTCCTCAAAAGAGTATTTAGAATTTAGGCTCTAGACATCAAAGCTTTTAGAGTGATTAGAGATGCTTTTGTCCATGTCATTTTATAAATGAGTCCCTGCAATCTAAGAAAAAGTGAAAGGACTTGCTAAAGGTCACACAGCTAGTTGGTGGTAGAACCAAAGATTAGAAAACAGACCCCAATTCTAGCCTACATCCCCCATTACTTCATACATATACGCAAAAGTTTTTACCTATGCAGTCAGATCCTGAGAACCATAAGCATACTATTTAGAATCATGGTTGTATGCTGCACAAAGTTGTTTTGTTAAAAATCTTTTTTTGTTTTATTTTTGTTTTAGACAGTCTCACTGTGTTTCCCAGGCTATCTGCCTCGTGGATTCAAGCAATTCTCCTGTGTCAGCCTCCCAAGTAGCTGGGATTACAGGCATGAGCCACCAAGCCCAGCCTAAAAATCTTTACTGCAAGAATAAAGCTTCCATGATTATGGTTAAAAAACGGTTGTTTAACTATCTGGCATTAATTCTTTAATAGAGTGGTCTGTTATCTAATATTATATCTAAGTGGCTTTGTTGATGTCCCTGGAAGCAACTGCCCATATCATTATAAATTATATGTATCTATCTCTTTTGAGATAAGTAAAACATAATCTTACAAAAGAGTAAACATTTTATTATTTGTACATGAATCAGTTTGCTCTGAGGATACATCAGCATCTGGCTAACTCATAAAAGCAGCCAGAGTGATAGGAGAATGTTTGTGGTCATTTCCATTTGCTGCCACATCCCTTACATTATCTATTTGCTAAGCACTGAGAGGCCTAGAATGGACATGTCGAACTGTCAGGAGGAACATGTGGGACACTGGCACCTGCAATAGGTTTTTTTTAAAGCAGAGAATGCAGAGTGGCCGCAGACTCCACTTCAGAGCCAGGGTGTGTGGAGGTCTCCGGGGAAGAGCTCTCTGCACAACAGGTTTCCTGGGGGCCAGAGGGTCAGAGAAAAAAAGACAGCCAGGAGTGCTACCAACCAGCCTCAGCTAGAACACTGTCCAAACAGGTCCCAAACATGGCCTGGTCCCAGTGTTCGGGGGATGGACAGTGTCACAAGGGAACCACCTGAAGGGTGGGCAAAGGCCCCCGTGGAGGAGCCACATACTCTTCCTCTCTCAGCAGCCGCAGCAGGATGTTTTTTTTATTCTTGGGCCAGCTGTAGATGTGAGTGTTCTGAAGCCAGGTGGGCACGTGCTCCTATGGGAGACAGAATGACAGGAGCAAAGGTCATTAGAGAAAAACCTGGATTCCAGATCCCAGGCTCAATTCCCAAACATTTCTGGCTTTCCCTACATGGGCGTTTCCTACCAAACTGTCCTGGGAGTTGTACTGTTTTGCTTGTGGAAAGGTTTAGCATGTGAAATGTTCTTGGCTTCAGGAACAAGCTGCATATCTCATTATAAAAACCACATGTGCACAGCATTTTCTGTCAGTCTCCCAGGCTACCTACCCTTTGCATTTCAACGTGCTTTTCACCACCCTCACATAAAAGGGATAGGACAGAGGTCACACAGAGTGATGTGAATTCCCCTGTGACTTCAGAAGAAGTATGCCAGAGCCATAGGCTTAAATCAATTCATCACCCTTTCACTCCAGTCCCTGATCTGGCCTGCAGTAGAAGGAGTCCGTTAGACCTCAGTTATCAGGCACAGGCAGAAACTGTTAACCAGGGATCCTGGGGGTGCAGTGTCAGACTGCCCTCATGGAGTGGATGTTCTGGTGGGGAGAGGCAGGTAATAAGTAAAATGGATAGTGTGTTCAACGGTGATGCATGCTGTGGAGAAGGATTAAACAAGAAAGGGGACAGGGAGTGCTGGGGCAGGTGTGACAGATTTGCAGTTTTCAATAGGGTGCTTAGGAGAGGCCTCACTGAGAAAATGAGCAAAGACCTAAAAGAGTAGAAAAAGCAGGCTCTGGGTCCAGGCAGGTGGAAGAGCCAGCATGAAGGCCCTGTGGTGGGAGTGTGTTGAGCCTGTTCACAAGCAACAGGGCCACTATGAATAGAGCAGAGTGAGTACATGCAGAGGTCTGGAAGTAGAAGGGGCTGTATTGGATAGTGCCCTGTAGGCCACAGTAAGGCCTTTGCTTTTGAGTCTAACTCTTAGGGACTATAGCGTGGGACTCCCTTAGGGACTGTAGGATGTGCTTAGAAGCAGCACCTGCTTCATCTCAGGCATCAAGCTGGGTACTGAGGATGCCCAAATGAAAAGGATACAGGACTGCCTTGAGGACTTCAAATCTTAGGATGTCAAAGATTTTGCCTTCAAATCTTAGGAAGGCAAAATGTCAAGAAATGATTTTCTAGTCAATGGTATACCAAGGGGGCAGGTGGTAACAGCCTCTGCTGAGCTCAGGCAGTACAGGCATTGTCTGAAGGAGATTTAAAAATAATAACAAAACCAGTGAAAACTTGGTTTTTTATGCCACCATGCTCCAATAATTCTAAACAATTATTCCCAGTACCCTCAACCCAAACACATGCCATTGATCCAAGGTACTAGAACTAAGCACTCTTAAGAAAGGGACAATGAAATATATTCGCATGGAGGTAAAGAGGTGTCGGGGCCTGGGCATGGTGGCTCATGCCTCTAATCCCAACACTTGGGAGGCCAAAGCAAGTGGACCACCAGAGGTCCCAAGTAGCTGGGACCAGCCTGGCCAACATGGTGAAATCCCGTCTCTACTAAATATACAAACATTAGCCAGGCCTGGTAGCGGTGCCTGTGACCCCAGCTACTTGGGAGGCTGAGGCAGGAGAATTGCTTGAATCCGGGAGGTGGAGGTTGCAGTGAGCTGAGATTGTACCATTGCACTCCAGCCTGGGAGAGAGAGCGAGACTCTGTCTCATAAAACAACAACAACAACAACAACAAAACACTTTAGGAGGCTGAGGCAGGTGCATCACAAGGTCAAGAGATCAAGACCATTCTGGCCATAATGGTGAAACCCTGTCTTTATTAAAAATACACAACTTAGCTGGGCATGGTGGCATGTGCCTATGGTCCCAGTTACTTGGGAGGTTAAGGCAAGAGTATCGCTTGAACCCAGGAGGCGGAGGTTGCAGTGAGCTGAGATCACGCCACTACACTCCAGCCTGGGTGACAGAGCAAGACTCTGTTTCAAAAAAAAAAAAAAGATGAAGTGTCAGGGGAGGCTAGAGATTGGATTTAAGGATAAGTAAGAGTTCACTAGGCAGGCAAGTTAGGGAAGGGCACTGCAAGCAGATGGAACAGAATAGGCAAAGGCAAAGAAACCCAAAAGAACACAGCATGTGCGAGGGCATGCTGAAGTGGTCCAGGGTGACCAGAGCACACAGCATCTACAGAGGGTGAAAAGAGAGAAAACCATGCAAGGGGACACAGTCCTCTTCTGAGAGGCCTCATAGCTCATGCTAAGAAAGGTGGATATGATCTTGTAGTCAATGGGAAAAAAGCATACAATTTTTAAGCTGCCAAGAAACAGATCGGGCCTACATTTTGGATGTTCCTTTTTGATGGCAGAGCCGAGGATGGCTAGCACAAGGTCAAAGTGGAGACGAGCAGACCAGTAAGGAGACTCATCAGTAAGTGAGAGCAGTGAGACCCTGGGCAAGGGTGACACAGGGAGGATGGAAAGGTGTGCTGTTGTACAGGTTGTGCACCATACAGCCTGAGGTGTCCCAGTCACATAAACTGGAGCCTCCCTCATCCAGGGCAAAGGTTTCAGTGCAGTCCTGACATCTGAGGATCCCTCCAGGGTGAAATGGGGCCTGAGCTCAGGGTGCTGTGGTCTCATTCTCAAGATGTTTACTCCACCACTGCCTTCCCTTTGCCAAGCCTGGGATGTGGCCTCAGGTGGTTTTGCCCCCATTCTTCAAACTTGCTGGCAGACCCTTCTGGTGTGAAAAGCCTCTTATGAATCACAGCAAAGTTCACTCAGGTAACTGTGTAGATTTAATTCCTGTAATCGTTGGCTATGAGAACTGAACCAAGTACAATGAAATACCTCCCTGGAACAGCCAGCAAAAACTGTACACATCTTGACTTTTATATACAAGAGATAAGAAGTATCACATGAACCTTCTCTTTTGAGTTAAAACAGAAACTCCCTCTTTGTGTGCAATGGTTCTTTGAACAATTAGGGCAGCAATGATACTATCAGATAGCTTTAAAACCTTTCTGATTCATGTAGCCGAACTGAGTGGTACAACTTGTTGATCTTTCTGGTAACATTGTTTTCTCTGAGGATTGATAAAGAATAGGCTGGGCGCGGTGGCTCAAGCCTGTAATCCCAGCACTTTGGGAGGCCGAGGTGGGTGGATCACGAGGTCAAGAGATCGAGACCATCCTGGTCAACATGGTGAAACCCCATCTCTACTAAAAATACAAAAAATTAGCTGGGCATGGTGGCGCGTGCCTGTAATCCCAGCTACTCAGGAGACTGAGGCAGGAGAATTGCCTGAACCCAGGAGGCGGAGGTTGCGATGAGCCGAGATCGCGCCATTGCACTCCAGCCTGGGTAACAAGAGCGAAACTCCATCTCAAAAACAAAAAAAAAAAAAAAAAAAGAATTGACGCAGTGGCTCATGCCTGTGATCCCAGCACTTTGGGAGGCTGAGAGGGGCAGATCACTGGAGGTCAAGAGTTCTAGACCAGCCTGGCCAACATGGTGAAACCCCATCTCTACTAAAAATACACAAATTAGCCAGGCAAGGTGGTGGGTGCCTATAAACTCAGCTACTTGGGAGGCTGAAGCAGAAGAATCACTTGAACCAAGGAGTCAGAGGTTGCCGTGAGCTGAGGTCATGCCACAGCACTCCAGGCTGGGCAACACAGTGAGACTCCATCTAATTAAAAAAAAAAAAAAATACTCCAAGTGCGGTGGCTCATGCCTGTAATCCCAGCACTTTGGGAGGCCAAGGTGGGTGGATCACAAGGTCGGGAGATCAAGACCATCCTGGCTAAACATGGTAAAACCCCATCTCTACTAAAAATACAAAAATTAGCTGGGCTAGTGCCATGCGCCTATAGTCCCAGCTACTTGGGAGGCTGAGGCAGGAGAATCGCTTGAACCAGGGAGGCGGAGGTTGCAGTGAGCCGAGATGGTGCCACTGAACTCCAGCCTGGGTGACAGAGTAAGACTCTGTTTAGAAGAAAAAAAAGAATGGACAAGGTTTTCCACTTAAAATCCCAGATGGCAAAGCAAACCAAAGATTAAATTCTGAGGCTTTTGTTTCTTTGTTTACCTTCTTAGCATTTGGGAAGAGCACAGGGATGAATCTGAAATTCATGCTTCCTTGTTTTATGAACTCAATCTGCATCTGAAACCAAATAAATTTGAAGGTTTAATTTTAGGAATGAGGATGAGGAGTTAATGGTCCCCATAATGATGCAAGTCCACATGGTATTTTTATTCTGATTTCCATATCTGAGTGCCACACACTTATAATTTTAAGCCCCCCTAATTACACATCTATTCCATTCACTCATTTATCAGTCATGTATTAGAGGCCTATTAGAAGTCACATTCTATGTAAGACTTTGGGTGTCAGGATTAGGATACCTTCAGGGTGTGCTGAAACTGGCTTGCAGAAGCTCACAAAAGCTGGCTATGTGCATCTCTTCCTAATTCTGTGTTCAGACTTCACACTGATAGCTTGAAATTGGCAATGGTGAGAGTATTTATACCATGGAAATAGGTAAGTGCTACAAATCAGGAGAGCCAGCTTAGCAGAACACACTGTTACAGTCCCTATCTTCACAAGGCCAGCAGTCTAGGGAGCAGGCAGAAAGGTAAATTACCAACCGGAGTGCAGGCTGAAAAGTGTGAACAATTGCTCCAGAAGCCCAGAATGGGGGCCATCCATTCCACATCAGAGACTGGAAGGACAGTTACACAAGAGGGGTCATTTGGGCACTGAAAGAAAAGATTTTGCTCAAGTAGGGAAAACAGAGGCAAGGAGAAGGACCTTCTCAGTAGAGGCAACAGCATGAGCAAATGTCTGGAGGTATGAAAGTGTGCTGATGTGGTTGGAACCAGCTATTAATGCACTGTGGCCAGAGCACACGATGGGCTTGGCAGAGAGGGGAAGTCAATTGTGAAGAGCTCTGTCTGCCAGGATTTAGGTTCCTCACACCAGTTCCAATATGGTCTGATACTGCGGAAGCCCAAGAAGATTTAACTACCAAGAGCTCTCTCAAAAATCAGAATTTTCAATAGGACGGGTGTTAGAGTCTTCCAAATCCTGTGACCAGCACAAAGCTTTCAGTTATCTGATGAGAAGGAAATGAGGAGTTATGTGTTCCCAATCATTTCATCTTCCAGTTGATTTTTATAACTGAGAAGTTTTCATTGTGCATGGAAATAAAAACAGAACAGAGAAGCAAGTGACAGTGGTGATGGCTGGTTACTGAAATCACCATAGAAACCCCTCATAAACACACTCTCACATATACTCACACACAAATGATCGTACAACACAAACAAATCCTCCACAAGGTGTTTTCTCAGAACCACCTCTGAGAAAGCTCTGCCTGAGACCCCTCTGGGCAACAGAAAACCCTGGAGCAGTAAGAAATTGGCCATGACAGAGGGAGTGCAGAGGTACTGACGAGTGACTGCATCTCATAACATATATTTTAAAATGACCCAAGTTCCGTGCAGCTAGAAGCACCAGCCACACCAGCACGGAGTAGACATGAAAGGTAGGGGCAGGGTGCACAAGTTACAAGTGAAGCACTGAGTTTTGTCTGACTTGTAGGACTCCATATACTGTGAAGCTTGGCTTGTACACTAGGCTGCCCAGGCTGTGGAGGGGGCAGTCAGCAGCAGAACATTTTTAATTTTCTCTCCTCCTTCCAGATACTGGCATTCTGTGAACTAGTTCACTCTGTGATGCAGTTACTCATCAGTACCTCTGCACTCCCTCTGTCATGACCAAGTTCTTATTGTTCCAGGGTTTTCTATTGCCCAGAGGGGTCCAGGAAGTCAGCCAGGCATGCAGGAAGGCAATTCTGTATCTGGCCTCTTTGACCCCTTCTGTGATGAGGAAGGGCCCAAGACACTGTGGCCCAAGAAAGCAAGTTTGGAGACAGTCTGGTTCCAGTTGGTACAGTCAGACAAGCTCTGAGGCCGAGCTGTGTATTACTGCCTGGCTATGCCACACACCCACAGAGCTAGACAGGTTTCCTTAGGAACTGGCTGAGGCCTCGAGCCCTTCCCACGCACAAGCTGTCAGCTCCCAGGACTGGCAGGTTCCTAGAGATGCAGACAGGGCATCGTGTGCTCTGACGCCATGCAGATGTGCAGCAGATAACCAAGGGACGAAGCCCGCCATGACCTTTTAAGCCTGTTTAATTCCAGAAATGATACCTTTCCGGGGCACTGTACAAGGGCTGTGAGACTGGTCGAGACCAGAATAGGAGGAGCCTTATCTCCTGACTCCCTGGCCTCACTTTTTAACCTCATCACTTTGCCTCGGCTCTTCCTTTGGCTTGGTTGTGAGGTCACATGAGTGGTCTGCACTTGGTAGAAAGGGAGACAGAGACCATGAAGACTCAGATGGGGAACACCCACCCCACCCCTTTTCCACGATGCTGACCTACAGGATAGACCTGGGACCTCCATCTGCTTCCCCTGAGGTAAAGCAGTGTGCACTGAGACTGCCTGGTCCTCCCCATCTTCCCAACTTAGTCAGTGATGCTCTGTGCCCATTCCAGGTGCCTCCTCTCCTTGTGGAGTGTTAGAGCTGACATGGAGCTTATCAGTTCTAGTCCAGTGATTTCCCAAGCCTTTTTAAGTCTCAGAATCCTTGGTCAACAAAACAAGCCTGAGAAGTGCAAACCAGCTCTAGCTGAGGTGGGGGCGGGAAGCGCACAGCCAGTCCCTCCTCCAGCACAGATGGGCACCCATTGGGAACTCTGCAGCACAGCCTGAAAGTCACAAGTGTAGCCCCGCATCCTAGCCAAGCAGAAACTGTCTCCACAGCATCTCTATAATCACAGGGAGCAGGAGGATTGCTAGCCCATAAAACAGCCAGTTCCAAAGCTGGGTGATTGTTTCGGTCAGAATGTTCTAGTTTCATCCCATGCTGAGCAAGTCTAATATCCTACAGATTTCTCCCACTGATTTGAATTTAACCAGGCCCCATAGTTCCCCACCTGTCATGAGCTAAGAACACTCCCTTCCCTTGTTTGAGCATCTGATATGTACCAGATACTTTGAAAACATTATTTCATTTCATCTTCACAAGAACCCTGTAAGTATTAGCGACCCATTTTGTGAATAGGGACATTGAAGCACAAAGAGTTTAAGCAGTGGGGTCGCGGTCACACAGCCTGGACATGAGGAACCCAACTTTAACCAAGCCCACCTGATGCAACGGCAGGTGTCCCTTTCACTACACCGCTGCTTTCTGAAAAGGTAGGGCACAGAATATGAATCAGCTGCAGGAGCCAGCCCTCCGCACTGCCCCGTCTCCCACCTCCTAGGACTTCTTATTTGCTGGTAAACAGTCAAGCCATGAGAGCACTTCTTTCCAGAATCTTGGATCCTAGAGATCACAGATTGTGCTCCCCTTGTAACTGATAGGAACAACTGAGTCCCAGAGGTGCAATGACTTGCCCACAGTCCCTAACGCAGACGGAGCCAGAATCAACAGCTCCTCTCCTGACATGGCAGGCCTGGAGCTCTTCACTCAGCATCATGCTGCTCTCAGTTGGTCTCTGGGGAAGAATGGGACTTCCTTGGACAAGGTATCCATCCCCAGGGGACAGTGAGGTGCTGTGATCCCCTCCCCACTCACCATCCGATGAATGTACTTAGTATGTAAGCCATGCTCATCCTCGTCCAGCTGCGATTCAGCGCCTTCCACATCCTGTTTGTATTTGGGGCTGATTGCTACGATTATCATCACGGTCTTCTGTTAATGAGAGGGAGAAAGGCATGTTTATGGAAGTGTAAAGTGTGGTCTGTTTGGGAAGGCAGGCTGGAAACTGGCCAGCAGGACCGTGGGCGTTCTCTGACACACTGCGGGTGGAGGGCCAGGCTCATTCTCCATGGAAAGAGAAGCACTGGCCCCCACTCAGGCAGACTCTTGTCCCTGCTTCTCTCCTCCATCTCCAGCCCAGCCCCACCTCGAACATGCAGAGTGAATGACTCAGAGAGGAGCTCTCCTAGATAAATGTGCTTTTGCCTACCATTTTCCACAACCATCACTAATAAACCTCTAATGAAAGCCCCAATCACTGAGTGAGTCTGCGTCATGGCAAAAAGGCACTGCAACACCAACAGTGAGAAACACCCTCCCTCCCCGCAGCTGGATCTGAGCTGCCAGTCACTGCACTCTTGACTGCCCTGTCTTCTGCGTGTAGGCATTAGCACAGTCGGTAGGAACAGACCCTTCAGCACAAAGCAAACATCAGGCTGCAGACAAAGGGAAAAGCGCAAAACCCCAGCCTGCTGAGACTCCAGTCCCCCACCAACTCCCTCCGAAAGAAGCAGCCGACACAGACACGCTGGCAGCAATCAATTTTGATCTTGTTAAACACAACGTGTCCCAGTGGCTGGTATAGATTCTGTCAGTGGAGAACAAATCACGGGGCTGTGCGTGGGCGCCTCGGGGGTGGTGTGCTGTGCAGCCTGAGAGGCTGCCCGGGAAACCTCTACAGCCCAATTCTACAAAACACTTGGGGTGGCCTCAGATTAAATTGAATTCTGCTGCTCTCTCCCCACTCTCTGCTTTCATTTCCTTCTTTCCTATTCTGGTAAAAAGATTGTTTCCTCTGATTGTTATCAACCACCTGTGTCTGGTTTGACCGTTATTTCCTGCCTGTGCATGTCCGAGAGGGCGACCCCATCCTTCCTTTCCAAGTCTTTGCACGGCTTCCAACAAGGGAGGCTTTGTTGGGGCTTTCTCAGCTTCAGACTTAGATGGGTATGCCAGGGCTGCTTTCATAAATAACTTCATAAGCTCGTTGTCTTTCTCACCAGAAAATGATCTCTGATTTTTGGGATGTACTTACATCCCTAAGGTAGCGCTCCATCCATTTAATAATATCAATGCCTCGGATTCTGTCCTCAAATATGTCAATCTGCAAGACAAAGATGTGGGCGTTGGCTCTTAGTAAGAAGTTCTCTCAAGATGCAGAGCAGGAGAAAACACAACACTGTATACATTTAAAACTCCAAAACTTAACTAATGCTTTTTGCAAGGAGGAGCACATAGGTCTAAAAAACAAAATATACTTTTCTGAAAATATTTCCTACTTCAACATTAGTAGGCATTTAAGTAATTAATACTGTATCCATAATTAGGATATTGTGATACACAATATCTATGTCTACACAATAATTATGTTTTTAAAAGTCTGAGGGACACCTATACCACTGAATTGGATGTAAGCCAGCAACATACATAAATTATATATCTGTAACTTAGAAATTTGAAAGGCAAACATAATTCTGGAATGTTTTAATGGATGTGTGGCACACAAGTAACTGAGATACAATTGTGCTTTACTTGCATTAATGAGGTCGTTATTATGGTATTATGTCCAGTTTCTAGCTATATGTTTCAAAAGGACTGCTATGAAACTTGGAGCAGAGCCAAGAAACGGTCACAAAAACAATTACTGAAATGGAAGGGAAGAGATTTAGGATGAAAGTCAAGAAGTGGAACTCTTAGGCCTTGAAAAGACTGATATTTACTATCAGTGTTCACGTCTTTGAAGGGATATTATAAAAGGAGAAAAATCAGTTAGTTTTTATAAGAAACCAAATAAGAAGGCCCTTCTTGGGCTCAGGCCTATATTGCTCTGTGTGTGTGTGTGTGTGTGTGTGTGTGTGTGTGTGTGCGCGCGCGCACGCACACACGTGTATGTTTATGATGTGCTCTTGATGGGAAGGGAGATTATATACTGGAATGAGTGACTCAGGGGGAGTGTCCTTGGAGAGGGGTTATGTGATTCAGCTACATTGCTCCCAGATTACTTGTTGTAAATGTCACTCCAGGCCAGGCACAGCTCACATCTGTAATCCCAGCACTTGGGAGGCCATGGCAGGCAGATCACTTGAACCCAAGAGTTTGAGACCAGCCTGGGCAATATGACAAAACTCTGTCTCTACAAAAAATTAGCCAGACATGGTGACATAAGAATGTAGTCCCAGCTACATGGGAGGCTGAGGCAGGAAGATAGATGGCTTAAGCATGGGAGGTAGATGCTGCAGTGAGCTGTGATCATACCACTGAGCAATTCCAGCCTGAGCAAAAGAGCAAGACCCTATCTCAAATAAATGAATGAATGAATGTCACACCGCTGTTTAGGACTGATCAAGTCAAGTCCCAGCCCTTCAGCAAGCTCTCTGTGCCATCCATGACCCATCCTCGCCTCTCTTTTCCCCATATATCCTGTCTACTTTACTACCGACATTGGTGTCCCCTGTACCCTAAAAGCACAGCACAAGCTCCGCTGCTCTGTGATTCCTTCCCTCATGCCAACCTTCTCTTCCTCCTCACTTTACCTAACTTTACCCCATTGTGACCACTAATGTCACTAGACAATTAACATATATGATAACATTCTTTTATTCATGACATGTCTCATTTATGTCTGCTGTGTCTCTTCAACCTGACGCTAAGCTTCCTAAGGAAAGAGATCATGCCCTGTGTACACTGAGCTATCATATACATAGGGTACAGGGTTCGGAATATGTGTCTTTACATGAAAAATGGAATGGCTGTTATTTTGGTTTAGATGACTCCTGTTTTCAAATGTGTGATGGCCAATGACTTCTCTTGAGAATGCTTTTGTAGCTTTCTGTGACTGTGTTGTTAATCCATTGTTATTATATGAGAGAGAAGCAATACAGTGTCAGGGTTGAAAAGAGACAGACAGCTTGGGCTCTATCTTGGCTTTGCCACTTCCCACCTATATGACTTTGGAAATGTTACTAAAACTCTAAATCTTATCATTTTCACTTGTAATATGTGGTTAATAAACTGATTTCCTAGGGTGGCTGTGAGGACTAAAATGAGTTAACATGGAAAAGGCCTATCATAATGCCAGGCAGGAAATAAGCACTCAATAAATGGTTATAATTGGTAGCTCATGCCTGTAATCACAGCACTTTGGGAGGCCCAGGTGGGCAGATCAGTTGAGGTTAGGAGTTTGAGACCAGCCTGACCAACATGGAGAAACCTTGTCTCTAGTAAAAATACAAAAAAAAAAAAAAAAAAAACTAGCTGAGTGTGGTGGAAGGCACCTGTAACCCCAGTTACTCAAGAGGCTGAGGCAGGAGAATTGCTTGAGCCTGGGAGGCAGAGGTTGCAGTAAGCTGAGATGGTGCCACTGCACTCCAGCCTAGGTGACAGAGCAAGACTCCATCTCAAAAAAAAATTACATAAATAAAAAAGGGTGATTATTGTTATTATCCAAGCACCTAAATTATTCCTAGCCACTGAGGTGGACATCCTGGGTGGTATAATGAGCTGGGTATCTTCCATCTGTTTCTCCAAGTCTCTTCCAAAGTCCACAGCTCCTGTCATGATCATTTCTCCACATAGCTACTACTATGGGCTGAATTGTGCTCCCAAAATTCCTGTGTTAAAGCCCTATCTCCCAGTACCTCAGAATATGACTGTATTTGGAGACAGGACCTTGAAAGAAGTAATTTGGATATAATAAGGTGATATGGGTGGGCCCTAATCCAATAGGACTAGTGTCCACAGAAGAAGAGATTAGAACACAGGCATGTGTCCACACAAAGGAAAGACCATGTGAGGACAGAAGGAGAAGACAGCCAGCGACCAGCCAAGGAGAAAGGCCTCAGGATGAAACAACCCTGCTGAAACCTTGATCTTAGACTTCCAGCCTCCACAACTGTGAGGAATACATTTCTATGCTTAAGCCACCCAGTCTGTAGTACTTTGCAGGAATCCCATTTTTAAAAATTGTCTCAAAAAAGTCTCCCCCTCCACAAAATTGTCTTACAGAATAAAGAAAACTTCAAATAAAAACTCCTGTGCAAAATAACCTTTAAAATTGATATTTAGTTACTAAGTATCCCTCTTTATCTATAGACATTTATATTCATAGATATTTCCCTTAATTTTTCACCACTCTTTAGAATTCACTAAAAGAGACCTAGAAGAAGGCTCTGGAAAGGAAAAGTAGTTATCTTGTGTTTGAAGAAAGCCAGTCCCCTGAGTTAGCATCGTGTGGTATTTTATTTATCATAGAGAAAAATTTACATGGCTTTAAGCTATACTGTGTCAAGGGACTACAGGGGAACAAGGGCAGTGTGTGTTTCATGAGATTCAGGGGCCAAGATCACAGTGGACCTGTAGGGCTGGGTTAGGTCTGCCTCCCCTGGAACTGGATTAGGACAGCCCAAAACCCGGCCAGTATCGCCCATCCAGAAGCATCACTGTGTCAAGGTGTGGAGATGGCAGCTGTGCGCAGTGGGGAATTCAGGCTGCAGGGTTTCTACTTCAAACCTCATAACCCAGTGCAGAACAAAAGGACCTTGTTAAATAAGCAGGTGGCCATGGTGAAGCCTGCAGCTTCCTGCATCATGAGAAGCTCCACCAAAGTGGGCATGATTGGTGAGAAAGGACAAAGGTGCAAAGTGCAGCAAGGGCCTGGCATTTCCTTCAGGCCAAGGGCCAGCGCATATGTGGTCGCATTAGCACTGATCTTGCTGTTAGAGGTACTTGGGTCACTCAATAGCATACAGGTAAAAAAATGCTGGAGACTTCAGATAGCTAAAATCTGGAAAATAATTATTACCTAAATCTGTAAGCACTCAATGCATAATCACATAAATCAAAAATATTGTTTAAAACACCAACAGCTGTTGCACTTTTTCATCTTCTGCTTTTCTCTCCATTGTACTCACTATAACTGTTCAGTTACCTACTTGGACAAAATACTTACTGCAGTTTGGAAGCCATTTACCAACAAAAAGTTCACGAATTTCACCACCTCCATAGCTGTATCCATCGAATAAGTGATAAAGACTTTCCCTAAGAGGAAAGTTTTACATTTATTAGAAATTGGTCAAATTATTCTATTCTAAACAAACTTCTAAATTACATGCAGTATCTTTTGTCCTTCTAGAATAATAAGGGGAAACCTTGGGCTGGGTTGCTATGAGAGCTTATGCCTGCATTGCCGTGCCCAGAGCACAGCTCCTCAGGCCCAAAATGCCAGGGGGTCTGTCCAAGGGAGTGCAGACTGCTCTTCGTGAATGGAAATCAGAGCGGCTTAGACAAGCCTAAGGGGGCTTCTGAAAAACCATGAGGCAATAACAAGAAATGCACCACCCAGAATCCATGAGTCCTTAAGATCAGGCGCTGCCTGGTTTCTTAAAGACACTTGGCACTGTGCCCAAGGAATACTCTCACAGCAGGCCAAGAAGCTAAAACTTGCTAAGGGGCCACCCAGCAGTGTCTTCTTTTCATCTCCTGATGCTCTCCACTGCCCTGAAAACTTGCTCTTCTGAAAGAGCAAGTGGGAGGAGAGTGAGAAAGTGGTTCCCCGCTCCCTTCTTCCCTGCAATCCACTCACTTCTAGAGAAAGGCCAGGAAGTTTGGAGTAGACCAAAGCACAGCTCAGAAATGTTAGTAAGAAAAACTTGAGCGGCTTGAAGGAGAGACACTGTCTCTGGGCAGTCCAACATCACAGACTCCCTCACTCATCCCTGGGTCAGCTTAGAGCAGCAGACAGTACCGTTTGGACAAGATTAACCCAGTCAGGATGAACCAGTGTTTTCTCAGGCTAAAGTCTTGAGGAAATTGTCTGGCTAGCATTTTAATGTGAATGCTGAATAATCTCTCTGTGTTGGCTTTTAGTCTGGAATGGACCAGTTAAATCTCAGGAAGCCCTTGGGGCAGAGGATGGAGAAGAAATGGGGGCTGGAGAGAAAATATGAGTCTGTATCTATACTGAGGTTTTTTGAAACACACCTCCCAAATGGAAGTATGTGTAATGGTCATATTAACTCATTTAAACAGCCAGATATATTGATGGCACTCAATTTTCATCTGAACACCTAACATTCACCCAATTCTTGTGTATTTTAGGATTTCCTTTATAGATTATGGTAAGATATATATGATCTATAAACTTATATCAGAACTATGACATATGCAGGGCAGGATTTGTTCTCCAGAAATGCTCAAAATTAAAATGATTAAGATTTGAAGAAAGTGTTCAGAAATAAAATGTTTTGAATGAAAATAGCAATGAATCATTGTCATAGAAATCTTTTGGAATTGTCAATGACTAATCAGCACAGATCCCCCAAAAGGAATCAGCACATACAAAAGGCCTCATTTCAGGTTTGGTTCAAAAAGGTTCCCAGATTTGGAAAATGCATATTAGAATTACCCGAGCTTCTCTAGCAAGCACATCATGTAATAATTGCACAAGTAGTGGCTGTTTTCTTAAGATTTCTGGAAATTACCATCCTGACTGACCTTAATATGAGAACATTTTGGTGGTATTTCAACATTTCTGGTTCTGGCAGCAAAATGTGGAAAAAGAATCATCACCTTACGCTTAGTCGAATGTTTCTTTAAATAAAAGGCTTAGTTTGCATTTGGTTGTGTTGCAGTTTGGAGAATGTGAGACCTTTTTTTCCAAACAAGATTGCTCATTCCTACAGGAAATGACCTCGTTCTTGATGGCTGCTGGTAACTTATGGTGAGATGCTGGGTCCTTGTCCAATACCACATGGACATCCAATCAATTTACCCAGGGACAAGTCCACTCAAGAGCATCATTTAGAATAGGGAAAAGACATTGGGGTTATTTATTTTTGGAGTATGTGCTTAAGGAAATCTAGAGGTAAGCAGTTTGAGAGCATTACTAGTGGTGTCAGAATCACTAAAAACATTCATACAAAATGCTGATTACTTTTTAAGCAAAAACGTGCATTTTATTTTAGTGTGTCTATGAGAAATAGCTGAGGTTATGAGGCCAGGTGCAGTGGCTCACGCCTGTAATCCTAACACTTTGGGAGGCCAAGGTGGGTGGATCGCTTGAGTCCAGCAGTTCGAGACCAGCCTAAGCAACATGGCGAAACCCCATCTCTAGCAAAAGTATAAGCAAATTATCTGGGTGTGGTGGTGTGCCCCTGTAACCCTAGTGGGAGAATCACTTGAGCCTGGGGGGTTGAGGCTGCCGTTAGCCATGATCACACTACTGCACTCCAGCCTGAGCAACAGGACTGAGACCCTGTCTGGAAAAAAAAAAAAACTGAGACATGGATGAGTGATCATCCAACCATCACAAAGTACAAGAAGTGACAAGAAGGAGAGAACGATGTTGCAAACAACTTACGCAATTCTTCTGGCAAATTGCTTGTTTTTAGAGTTCCTCTGGCTGGAGGGTTGCTAAGGGGTCTAGGCACAGCAGCTGGGGACGGAGGCTGGGGAACCTGTGGTCTCAGCTCGGCCGGGGACTCCAAGGACTCCCCAGGAGCACGAGCTCTCTTAGGTAGTTGGTGGTGCGGCTGGTCCCTAGAAAGGAATACACTTACAGTCAATTTTCATTCTTTACAAAGGCAAACCTTCAGGGACAGAGAGCCTTTTAGAACTATGGGAAGATCCCAGTGGGCTACCTCTCCTCTGCTTCTATTTCTTATCTGAGACAGAAGGAAGAAGGGAGCTCCATGGAATTTTAGTCAATAAGCCGTTCAGCTGGCAGCCACATGTGAAGGCCTGTGCTCCAAGTCGTAAAAGGGAAGCGGGATTTGATTACTCTATTCAAGATTTGTTTAATTGGAAAAACAAGTCTCATGCACAGGGCAAAGTCACCAACAAAACAAAGTAGTATGACAGGTGACACAGATGGTTGATGTTATAGTTATAGGCATTCAGATAAAAAGATATGACGTTTAGCTCATACTACGTAACATTTAATTATGTATTAAAAGGTAAAGAGGGCCATGTAGGTTTAGAAGTATTTGTACCATTGACATATGAATGGAAATCTGATTTTGAAGACCCTTTAAAGAAGTTTCTACCATATTAGATAGCAGCTTTATCATTTTGGTTGCCAGTATTCCCATGAACATTCTGCTGCGATGGACAATCAGATGCCCATCTGAGATTTGGCCGGCAGATGGAAACGGACAGCACACCTCTGCCGCTTCTGTGGTTTCTGTTGGTAAACACAGTGACAAGGTGCTGAGTTTTCCCCAGAGGGCATCCCAGTGTCCTGTTACCAGCTTCGGAGGCATTGAGGGCAGGGCATGGACATCCATTTTTTGCCAGTGGAGATCTATCTGGCACAGAACAGACCCAACCATTGCAGTGGTCACAGCAGCGCTGGCTTTCTGATTTTGTCCCTTCCTGACCGCCAGAGGAGGCAGCCTTTTTGGTGGCCCTGTTCTGTGGTATTGCGCTAACCGGTGGTGGGACTAAAACTGTCTCTATAGTGTTTTATTTCTTAAAAAAAGATTCTGAAGCAAATGTGACAATATGTTAACATTCGTAAAATCTGGGTAGTGGGAACATGGATGCTGTTATTTGTTGTGTGTTTGAAACTGTGTCATATTATAAATTTTAAAAAATGTTTTGACTACAAAATCTCTATGTATATGCCCAGTTTTTGTAGATTGTTGCTTATGCTTTTCATATTTTTACCCAAAGAGTAATCAGAAATTCTAAAAGTCTTATATAACAGGATTTAAAATAAAATTACACAGAATCTCAACTGTACTATATTTTGAAAATATGAATGCTTAAGATTATTTTATATTTTTATTACTATAGAGAAAATAATTTCTATAAAATATGCTTTCATCTAATGGGAGAATCCCATTCCATATTTTTTTCTCATTTTCTTTTTTTTTAAATTTCTCCAAGAAAAACCCATTCCAAATTTTTTTGCGTTAAATTATTTTATACCAAAAAAAATTGTTTCAAAAGTTGCTTAGTTGTTATAGAAGATGATTGCTTATATGATAAAGAAATGTTAAGGCCTTGATAATAGTCAAAAACTTCTGTGTAAAAACAACACCATGGAAATTAATGACAGAATAAACTTTCCATATTAAAATTCTCTTTCAGACTATCAATAAGAGGAGAATTAGCTTCTTTTCATTTCTTTTCTTTTTTTTTTTTTGAGACAGGGTCTTGCTCAGGCTGGAGTGCAGTGGCTCAGTAACAGCTCACTGCAGCCTTGACCTCCTGGGCTCAGGTGATTTTCTCACCTCAGCCTCCCGAGTAGCTGGGACCACCATGCCTGGCTAATTTTTGCATTACTTTGGTAGAAACAGGGTATCAACATGTTGTCCAAGCTGGTCATGAAATCCTAGCCTTAAGCGATCTTCCTGCCTTTGGCCTCCCAAAGTACTGGAATTACAGCTGTGAGCCACCATGCCCAGCCTCAGTTGGATAGGGGTGTGTGTGTGTGTGTATGTGTGTGTGTGTGTGTGTGTTGTTTGCTAGTTTTTGAGACAGAGTCTCACTCTGTCACCCAGGCTGAAGTGCAGTGGCATAATCATGGCTCACTGCAGCCCTGACCTCCTGGACTTGGGCAGTTTTCCTGCCTCAGCCCCCTGAGTAGCTGGAACCACAGGTATGTGCCACCACACCTGGATAATTTTTGTATTTTTTTGTAGAGATGGGTTTTCGCTATGTTGCCCAGGCTGGTCTCAAATTCCTGGGCTCAAATAATCTACCTACCTCAGCCTCCCAAAGTGCTGGGATTACAGGTGTGAGCCACCAAGTTTACCTGAACTTATTTTTCATTATCCTAAATGATAAAATAAATCAAGAAGACCATAGCAGGCTTAAATTGATGCTACAAAACCAAACTCTGTATTACCTTTGCAACTCTTTTCTAAGTCTAAATTGTTTCAAAATAAAAAATTTAAAAATTACTATTCTCTTTTCTATTCAACACCAAACTTATTTCATAAAGATATTTACATTTTGTTTATTTCCTTGGAATTTTAGATATTTCTTCTGTAAGAGTGCCTATCTTGCTATAAAATCACATTTTATCTTATTCCATTGTTTAAACTCTATGTATTTATGGTTTAGAAAAATAAGGGGTCTGGCCCAGCCCAGAGGCTCACACTTGTAATCCCAGCACTTTGGGAGGCTGATGTGGGTGGATCACTTGAGGCCAGGAGTTTGAGACCAGCCTGGGCAACAAAATGAGACTCCTTCTCTGCAAAAACTAAGAAAAATTAGCCGGATATGGTAGCGGACACCTGTAGTTCCAGCTACTCTTGAGAGGCTGAGGTGGGAAGATGACTTGAGCGTTGAAGGCAGAGGTTGCAGTGAGTCGAGATCACACCACTGCACTCCAGCCTGAGTGACAGAGTCAGATCCTGTCTTAAAAAAAAAAAAAAAAAAAGGAAAAAGAAGAAAAGGGATCGGTCTAGAAGAAAATATGAAGGTTTGTGGGCTTCTGAACAAAAGGGAAAGCAGGCATGTGCCTCTTCACCATCATTAATAAAGTGGGCTTTTTTTCTTTCAATGCAATTTTCAAACCAATTACCACTTTGTGTATTTCTGAAACATCCACTCTAATAAGAACTTCATATTTTACTCTATGCTATAAAAATGGAATCTAGTTTTAGAGTGGTATATAAAAGTTATTTTTCAGCAAGAGTGAACATTTAATCTACTTTCTTCCAAATATTGTCATAAATGAGGAGGCTCCATTTACATGAGTTTTACCTGTGTGTTTTAGATCCATAAATTAAGAGAAAAGGAAAACCTGATGGAGAGTTCAAAGGGAATAAGGGGAAAAAATGATTAAAAAGTTGACGACTGAAGTCATGAAAAAGCAAAGTTGTTTTTCTGAAGAAGCATAGGAGAGACCTAAGAATGGTGCTCAACATGTATGATTGGTTTTTTTTTTTGAGACAGAGTTTCGCTCTTGTTGCCTAGGCTGCAGTGCAATGGCGCAATCTTGGCTCACTGCAGCTTCTGCCTCCCGGGTTCAAGTGATTCTCCTGCCTCAACCTTCTGAGTAGCTGGGATTACAAGCATGCGCCACTGCACCCAGCTGATTTTGCATTTTTAGTAGAGACGGGGTTTCTCCATGTCGGTCAGGCTGCTCTCGAACTCCTGACCTCAGGTGATCTGCCCGCCTCAGCCTGCCAAAATGCTGGGATTACAGACGTAAGCCACCATGCCCAGCCATGTTTGAATGTTTTTATTACAAAAGAAACTAGTAGGCCAGGCGCAGTGGTTCATGCCTATGATACCAGCACTTTGGAAGGCCAAGGTGGGTGGATCACTTGAGCCCAGGAGTTCAAGACCAGCTGGACAACATAAGAAGACCCCATCTCTACAAAATATGTAAAAATTAGCTAGACATGGTGGCCCATGCTTATAGTCCTAGCTACTTGGCGGGCTGACATGGGAGGATGGCTTGAACCTTAAGGCAGAGGTTGCAATGAGTCAAGTTCACACCACTGCACTCCAGCCTGGGCAACAGAGTGAGACCCCGTCTCAAAAAAAAGAAAAGAAAAGAAAAGAAAAGAAAAGAAAAAAACAGGTAATTTTAAATTTTGATGGGAAATTGAATTTAAAATTTTAAAGTAAGAAATAGGCTTAAACAGGAACAGACACTAGACATGTGAAGAACTGGCTAACAGTAGAAGTCAGCCATAGTAAAAACAAAAATCTATTTGTGGACTGAAAGTCCAGATGATCTGAAAATAAAAGAAAGGAGTGTAACTTGGAAAACATCCGAAGAATCTTTCCTGTAAGAGAATTTCAACTAGTCACTAGCGGCTTTCTATGTCTGATAAAGAGATCCTTGTCAACCAGCTTCCGTTTCCTCCTGACCTGAAAAGTCTATATTGGGTGTTCCCTCTATGTGACTTGCTCACTAACATGGGTTAGCAAACCTGTAGAGAATTCTGTTATATCTTCGTTGCACTGGCATAATTCCTTTCCATGTTAAAAAATGTCTGAAGGTTGGGCCTGTCATACTTACTGGTACCTTGGAAGCCCCAGAAAGGAGCAGTCTCTCTGTGCAGGCCTCTCTTCTTGGTCCCAGGGGCTGGGATAATTCAGGATAACCTTCTGTGCAGGGTGCAGGCCTCTCACACTGGCTCCAGGCAGGGGCTGCCCGGGCAGAGCCGGCTGGATCACTTGCTGGTAGGCTGCTCGAGGGTAGTCATGGCCATCTGTAGGTGAAGACAACAAAGAGAATAGGGAACATCAATCCTAGCTCCTTCGTGTGGGAGGAGTGGAAAGCTCCATGCTCATTTGTGTCTTGATACCAGCTGAGGGGTCCAGATATCTGCTACACCTCTGTGATGTTTGCCATATTTCTCTAGTGTTAATTACTTGACGGTTTTCATGAAATTCACTTTGTTTGTCCTAAATAAAAATATCTGAATTCACCAGTTCAGTATTCTAATTGAAAAACTTTTCAAAAAACTCTACATAGGCTCCTCTTTTTGTGGGAAACTTAGGAAAATCCAACCATGAAGCACCCCTTTCACACGACCATTGCTACCATAATTTCCTTCATGTCCCAAACCAAGGCTAGGAAAAATTATCAGTATGATAGATGTGGAATCACTGCTCTGTCCTTTCCTCCCCTAAGTGGACACACATGTGCACACATACACATACTCACACTCCACTCCTCTTGAGAAGCGGTAAATGAATAAAAACTTGGCTCATCCTCCTGGGAACTAGCCAACCAGTTGGCAACACCCTCCAACTTCCTTGGTCCTCTCCTGCTAGAGCCTATGTGCACTTGGAGCCAGGGCTGTTTGAAGGGGGCAGGGCTCAAAGCAAAGCCAGAGCTGGCAGTGACTTATGTGAATGTGCAACCTGGGAGAAAGTAGGTCCCAGTCAGGACCAGGAGCAGCAGGGTCCCCAGGGAAGGGCAGCCTGCCTGACCAGGCAAAAGAATGGAACTAAAAGCCCAGAGGAGAGATGCAGGGAACCAAGTAGGGGTGAGAGGGAAGAGCTCTGAGGGAACGGCCCAGGCGCAAAGGGGCTAAGGTGTTGGGAAATGTGAGAGGTGCACGAGGACTGAAGAGAGCCAAATGGTATCCCTGCAAGATGAACAGTGAGCACCTCCTAGTGATCTGAGCACTGTTCCCACTACCCACATAGGCAGTAAGACGATCCAAGAGGCATAACCAGTTAGGACCAGAAGGAACTTGGTTTTTCTTTAAAAAAAAAAAAAAAACGAAACCCTCATTGGTCTTAAAATTTTTTTTCTGATTATAAAATAACAACCGTGTTTCCCTGCTGTGTAGGTAAGATACATACAGGGATGCACAGCAAAATAAAACTGGCAAGTAAACAGAAAATTGACTGGTAAGGTAGGCTGAAACCAGAATGGGGAGGGTGAGAATGTGGCTAATAATTGTATTCTTAAGGCAGGGTGTGGTGGCTCACACCTGTAATCCCAGCACTCTGGGAGGCTGAGGCAGGAAGATCACTATGTTGGCCAGGCTGGTCAGGAGTTCGAGACCAGCCTGGCCAACAACCCTGCCTCTACTAAAAATACAAAAATTAGCCAGGCATGGTGGCACACACCTGTAACCACAGCTATTCAGGAGGCTGAGGCAGGAGAATTGCTTGAAGCTGGGAGGTGGAGGCTGTAGTGAGCCAAGATCACGCCACTGCACTTCAGCTTGGGCAACAGAACAAGACTCTGTCTCAGGAAAAAAAAAAAGAACTGTATTCTTAGTTTGGTAAAGCAGTCAGGAGCCATCTACATTTTCAAAGTAACATTCAGGGAAATGACAGCCTCGAGTACAGAACAAAAGACAAATAATATGCACATTCAGTAGTGTGGCCTCCTCCAGGTTCCCACTGTCTGGACTCAGGAAACTTATCTGGGTGACCTGGCGATGTGCCCAAGCTAGTCTCTCAAGCATGGTCAGATTCCCTGGACTCAATCTTATTGTCTGCTTTGGCCCATGACACCACCTGGGTCCTTCTGCTCATGCTTCTTCTGGCAAAAGTGACCATGCCCCTCCAACCCAGACTGTCTCCTGGCAGGACCCCATGACCCTTGTCCTGATATTGCTTAGGCCTGCTCATGACAAGTAGTAGGGGCTTAAAGAAGGGGAGGAGGAGAGAGGGATCTGCATAGCTCTATCCCTACACCTGGCTGACAAAGGAGACCGGGACTTGAAGGGACAGCTCTCAGAAAAGAAGACAGCCCACAGGGACCCCTATAGTCTAGCACAAGATCTACTGCACACGCTTCGCCTTGGGAGCCTTCTGGGGCAGGGTGGATATATTCCAGGGGGTCCAGATCACAAGTTGCACTTTCAGGGCAACAGGGCAGGTTACTACTGCTCCTTTCCCCCAGGTTAAAAAACAGCAAAAAATGCCACGCTATCAGGTCCCCAGGTAGGAGCCAGCCCTGCTTTTTGATGAGCCTTGTGTGAGCAGACCCTTTACAAATCCAGCTGTAGATAGAACCCTCCAGAGCCCTCCCACTGCACTTACAATCCACCCTGCTTGACTAGGTCCCAGCCCCTGTCGATCTTACCTCCCACTGCACTCTCACTGGCTCACTAAGCTCTGGCTTTATCTTGAATATCCCAAACTTGTCCTCTCCTTTGGGACCCTGAGTTTGCCACCCTCTTTGTCCAGAATGTTTTTGCCCTAGATTTTCACAGACTGACTTCTTGCCACTCAGAGCTCAGCCCAAATATCACCTGTCCAAAGAGGCCTGCCTCTTCACCCAGTTACTTTATCCCATTCCCTATTTTGCTTTCTTTATAGTTCCTATCATGAGTTTGCATAAGTAAGCGTGACTTTTACCTGTCAGCTTCTTGCCTGCCTTCCCTACTAGAATATAAGCTCTGTGAAGGCATGGACTGTGTCCTCTTGCCACCATGTCTCCAAGAATAGTACTGGCACCCAGGGGACGCTCAATAGATAAATGAATGAAGTCTCAATAGTTATTAAGCTGACTTGAAGAAAAAGAGAAGCCATTTAGGACTGCACAATCTATTACTCCTTTCTAGGGCACAGGTCTCCTAGACCAGGGGCCCCCACCTCTCAGGCCACAGACTGGTATCAGTCTGTTGCCTGTTAGGAACCAGGCCACACAGCAGCAGGTGAGCAGTGGGTGAGCAAGTGAAGCTTTGTATTTACAGCTGCTCCCCATGGCTTGCATTACCGCCTGAGCTCCGCCTCCTGTCGGATCAGCGGCAGCATTAGATTCTCATAGGAACACGAACCCTATTGTGAACTGCACACTTGAGGGATCTAGGTTGCATGCTCCTTATGAGAATCCAATGCCTGATGATTTGTCACTGTCTTTCATCACCCCCAGATCTAGCTGCAGGAAAACAAGCTCAGGGCTCCTACTGATTCTAGATTATGATGAGTTGTATAATGAATTCCTTATATATTACAATGTAACAATAATAAAAGTACATGATAAATGTAATGCACTTGAATCATCCCCAAACCATCCTGTCCCCAGTCTGTGGAAAAATTGTCTTCCATGAAACTTGCCTCTGGTGCCAAAAAGGTTGGGGACCACTGCCCTAGACTGTCTAATTCTCATCTGCCGTCCATTTATTTCAGTTTTTTTTTTTTGTTTAATCGGTGTCTCCCTCCAGAAGTAGGAAGGAGAAAGACAAGGTAAAAGAGGAGAAACTTTGCCAGTGGCCTTAAAAGCCTTTACGAGGAAAGGGCTGAAAGTATCTCGAGAACTTTTCAATGTTTGAAGCCATTTTTGCTTCCCATGTCCATTAATAAATGGCTAATGTTTTATTTGCTTTAAAAGGACTACCAAGCTCTAATCATAGGGTTTATTTCTTTTCCAGAAAGCGGATGTTAGTGCTGTTAATCAAAAGCCTTTGAATCAAGGTCATACGATTTCTAACAGATTATTTCCACACAACATGTTTTTGTCTCATAGCAACACATCATATCATTAAAATCACCAAAGCATGTGGGCTAAGTGTTTGATTAGCTGTAACTTTCATTTCAGAAACGGCCACCTGTGGTAAAAAGTTATGCCAGTTTATGTGAGCAGATGCAAATGATACACCTCATCAATTTTTAAAATTAGGGTACTGATAATATAGTTCTCCATGCTGTCCTTTTATTGTTTGAAAACACAGGAAAGCTGAATATCAGTGTATCAATAAAAAACAAATGTTCCCTTTTGTAAGTGGAATTTGACCAGCTTTGTCTGGAATTTGACTAGTTGTATGGAAAAAGTTCCTAAATAGGCTGGACACACCTGTAATCCCAGCACTTCGAAAGGCCTAGGTGGGGTGGATCTCTTCAGCCCAAGAGTTCGAGACCAGCCTGAGCAACATGGTAAAACCTCATCTCTACAAAACATACAAATAAGCAAAACAAAAAAAGTTGCTAAATCAAAACTATGTTTATCAGGTAAATGACCATCTTTTTCATTGCTCCAGTTTTAATCATTCATTTTCATTATTATGATCAAGCCTTGCTAATTTAGTTGGGTACTTTTTTTTTGAGACAAAGTCTCGCTCTGTTGCCAGGCGCCAGGCTGGAGTGCAGTGGTGGGAGCTCGGTTCACTGCAACCTCCGCCTCCCGGTTTCAAGCAATGCTTCTGCCTCAGCCTCCCAAGTAGCTGGGACTACAGGTACGTATCACCACACCCAACTAATTTATTATTTTTTTAGTAGAGACGGGGTTTCACCATGTTGACCAGGATGGTCTCGATCTCTTGACCTCGTGATCCACATGCCTTGGCCTCCCAAAGTGCTGGGATGACAGGCGTGAGCCACGGTGCCCATCCTAGTTGGGTACTTTATATATATAAAATAATGGCTAACATTTATTGATCACTTGCTACATGTCAAGTACTGTTCTAAGTTCCATATTCAGAAGTATAGAGTTTAATTTTCCATTTTCCTAAAGTTGAACTCAGAATAAAAATCCAGATTCCTCACCATAGCCTGCCCAGCCTTCATCTTCTAGCACTCATTCTTTCCTTGCTCACTCTGCTCCAGCCCCACTGGCTTGCTTTTGGTATCTTAATGACAGTAAGCTCCTTGCTTCCTTGACCTTCTCATTCTTTAAGTTTCAGCTCATATATCTGCTTAAAGAGACATTCTCTGGCCAACCTATTAATGTCTGTTCCAACACCCAGCACCTTATAGTGCTTATAATTTGTCATTCTGTTTCTGACTTCTACTTCTGATCTATCTCTCCAGTAGACTGTGAATTCCATGAAGACAAGGACCATGTACATTGCATTCACCACGTTAATCCCAGTGCCAACCAGATGACCTGGAAACTGTTTGCTGAATAAATTGATAAGTGGATGGACAGGTTCTATTTCCAAATTTCATTGACTCTCTTCTTTGCTTCCCTTCCAGGCACACACACACAAAAATGACTTATCTAAGGCTTGACATCACGAAGACTCTACTCATGATTAAGGCTCACTCCTTTCCCCAGGAAGTAGAGAACAGATTTCTTTTCATTCATTCAGGAAATACTTATTGAACCTCAATGGCTAGGTACTTGGTGAACAAAGATAAATCGCATACAGTTCCCTTGGGAGTTACTCAAAATAAATGGAGAAAGAGAAAATCTGTGTCTGTGGGTGTCTGTTTTTAAACACAAATCCACACTAGTTAGTGTATGAGATGGGGAGACATATGAGTCGACAGCCACCTACTTGAGAATCCCTGTTCAAAAATAGCTTCCCTGTGGACTTGTCCCCAGTGCCTACAATTCCATCAAGAGAGTTTATTCTGTAGGGGAGGAAAGGTGGGTGATGTGATAGACAAATTATTTGCTAGCATGGTAACTCCTCAGTTCAGAGGCAGTGTTAATCACAAAGCAGAAATGAAAATCTTGCACAATCACAAATGGGTGCCCAGGACTGTATGTTATTAGTTGATCCCGTGATCTTCTTGGCTTGAACACACACGATCTTCATGATACTGGGCTTTTATCATTTGGAATGCATAAACCAAATCCTAAATGAGGTTTTCCATTTATCAGTCACAACATGCAACATTTTTCTTCCTTATTAAGAATGGTATTAACAGAGTTTATGAGAGAGAAATAAAATCTGATTTTCAAGTTGTCAAAAAACATCGTGATATAATGCCATCAGTTTAGCCAGGAAACAAAAGGGCCAATATAAACTATTATAGAAACTCCCACAGCTGTAAGCAGCTGTGGTTCCTGAAAGGCAACTCCTTCTTTATCATTTTTTCCATCTGGTTTATTTCTTTTCCTCACTTTAATTGTGCATGCATTCTAGCACACAAATAATCACCTTTTTTGGTCCACAGGCACAACTGTACCCACGTACCCACAGTTTTATTCTATTCAATCTCCTTGGTAGAGAATGCAAGAATTTTATAATAAAATGAGGGCTCTTTAGACTTAATTCTCTCTTTTCCCAATATATTCGCATCGTGAGTTTCATTTGATTGCACAGCCATGAACTCCATGCTGGTGACCTTCAGTGGAAGGATTCGGAGGCAGCAGGAGGCCGACTTCTCCAGGGGCGGGTGAGGAGAAAACACACTTATTCCCTTATTTTCACCTACTTTGAAAACTCTTTTTTTTTTACATGAAAGGGGTGACCAATAACTATTTTTGCTTTAACTTACAAAAAGCTTAGATATGCAATTTGCATGGTGATCATTATTTATTTATATATTCATTAACGGGTAAGGAACTAATGCTCTTCTAAAGCCGAGTAGAGCCATGTAGCCATGGTTTCCAAGTGCACAAGCATCCCTTAGGTGAACAGCTCTTTTGAAGTGGTTTTGTTGGCAATTAAGTGCAGTTATAGCCCTGACATGAAACTAAGCATTTGTACACCTGCCCTGAATGCTTAAAATCTGTGCCAGTGAGCGAGATCTGGAAGTAGAGGAGCACCCTGCAGAACTGGGCTGCAGGATCCATTTAAGTAATAATAATGATAACTAAAAGCTGTTAGTATTGAGGGCTTACCACCAGCCAGCCACTTTCCTAGTGCCTTTAATACATTATCTCATTTAATCCTCACAGCAACCTTTGTGGGAGTCATTGCTGCTGGAAGCCTCATAAATATTCTAGGGCTGTAATGCCCTGCAGAAAAGACATCAGCACTGGCAGCCCTGACCCTCTTCTCTGTGGTTAGATGGGACCCAGGGCCAAGGGACATGCCAGGTGAATTAGGGCAAGCTTGCCTTCTGTATGCACTTACTTCCCCTTTGTTCTTTTCAATTTTTACTTATTTCTTAATTATAAAATACCTGCTATTTTTATTTTTTTTTTTAATGTGTTTTTATGACTAAGTCTCATTCTGTTGCCCAGGCTGGAGTGCAGTGGTGTGATCTCAGCTCACTGCAACCTCCACCTTCCGAGTTCAATCAATTCTCATGCCTCAGCCTCCTGAGCAGCTGGGAGTATAGGCACCTGCCACCGTGCCTGGCTAATTTTTGTATTTTTAGTAGACAACATTTCACCATATTGGCCAGGCTGGTCTCAAACTCCTGACCTCAAGTGATCTGCCCACCTTGGCCTCCAGGGTGCTGGGATTACAGGCGTGAGCCACCACGCCAGGCCTGCTATTTAAAAAAATTAATATAAGTATATGAAATTAGAAAAAAATAGACCTGCCTCCTAATTCCCTGCTCCCCTTCCCACCAAGATCACCATTAGATCCTTCTAGACTTAACATGTATATATAAACACATACAGTTAAAAATAAACATGGATGCAATCATCACTGCAGCTCTTGCTTTTCAACTTAATCTTTTTAATGTCAGAATGTATATTCAGTGCAACGTGGGCCTAGTGGTCCATTGTATACATAAATCACAAATTACTTATCTGGCGCCTTAGTGATAGGCATTGTAGTCGTTTTTGTTTTTACTTCAATGCAACAATCCTTTAATAAACATTCTTGTTTTTGTATTTGTATATGCTTGTTTAATGTTTCTGTAGAATAGATTCCTGTAAGAGAAACTGCTGGGCCAAAGAGGAAGCATATATAAAATTTCAGTAGTGAAACTGCCTTCTGGGAGATTCCAATTTACACTCCTATCAAGAGTGATTGGGAGTATTCATTTCTCTGTAACTCCACCAACAGTGGATGTTGTCCAAAGTTTTTATTTTTGCACAACTAATCAGGGAAAAGGTGTGTCTAAGAATTTTGCACTTCTTAAATCTAATGATGTTGAGCTTGGTTTAGTTCTCATGTTGGCTATTTGTATATCTTCTGTGAATTAGTCCCATCTCCTATCCAAGTTCTCTCCCCTCTGCCTTTCAACACCTCTTTTTGCCCTCAGGATCCTAGATGTCTCTCTCCAACCCTGCAATATAAGGGAATAATACAGAGAGCAAGGGGATGGTGAAATGATGAACGAAAGCAGGTGCTGAGGCAACAGACACAAAAAGTGTTCCCGGTCAGGGGTGTTTGCCTTTTAAAGGAGACTGCCCCACTGTGGCAACACTCGCCTCCAAAGATTGGATTGCTAAGGTTGCCATTTCAGCTCCAACAACAGGAAAAGTACTTTCCAGTGGGAATTATTTTCCAGAGGGTCCTGGGACCTTCATTATAACATGAGTCAATGCTTTTTTTTTGTCTATCACAATGAGGCTTTCCCTTGTTAGCACTCAAAGTCAGTTACTTGGGACTGTATCACAAAGCCTTATGTATTCATACTTCTTCGCATTAATCTAAGGAGTTAATCAGAAGTAAAACATATGTAGGCAATGTCTGTCAGAGCATTGCTTATTGGATCAGAAAACTGGAAACTATTTTAAATGTCTGACAATAAAGAATAGGTTAATAGCAATTTGGTAGATTCATCTAATGAAATACAATGAAGAAGTTTTAAATGATGCTGGAATAAGAACATTCAATGTCACTGAAAATTATTTTAATTTTACATTAAAAATATATGCAAAGGAAAAAACACTGAAAATTAATGTCAAAACCCTAATAAGAAATTCTATTTGGGTAGCAGAAATATGAAAACTTATTTTCTTTTTTGAACTTCTGGACATAGTCCAATTTTGGGAGTGACCAAATATTATAATGATGAGAAAAATTATCTTTTTTTTTTTTTGAGATGGAGTCTTACTCTGTTGCCCAGGCATGATCTTGGCCCACTGCAACCTCTGCCTCCCAGGTTCAAGCGATTCTCGTGCCTCAGCCTCCTGAGTAGTTGGGATTACAGGCGCCCACACACCCGGATAACTTTTTTTTGCATTTTTAGTAGAGACAGGGTTTCACCATGTTGGCCAGGCTAGTCTTGAACTCCTGACCTCAGGTGATCTGCCCACATCAGCCTCCCAAAGTGCTGGGATTACAGGAGTAAGCCACCGTACCCAGTGAAAAATTACCTTTAAATGGAAATAATAGAATGTTTAAAAGTAATTTATGGTATTATTCTCACAAATTATTCCTTTTTAATCTGGCAATCACTGAGAAACACAGCCTTGACCAACATTCAGCTCTCAGTGATTCACACTTAAGGGAATCTACCACCACACCCACCCTATGACTGGGCACTTAGAGCAGGCGGTGGCATCCATGTGCTCCCACTCTGTTGGCTTCCCAACATATATACACTAGGTCCCAGTTTTAGGCATCAGGGGCTTTCTCCCTCTCCAGCCCAAGGCCCCATTCTCTTCACACACTCCTGCTTCCCCAGCCCCTGCCCTCATTCCTGATCTCACACTCATTCTTACCTATTTCTTTCCAGCATCTTCTAAGTTACATCTATCTCCTCTGTTTTCCTTTTTTTTTGGGTTATGAATTACTGTGTTGCTCTCTTCACTTTCGGAAGCTTTATACTTAGTATATATGTACAAATATGTAAATTATGATTGAGGACAGCATTTGTGATTATTTCCATAATTTATTTTAAAGTTGGGCATCAGGCCTTTGGTCAGGCACTTCCTACACTCTTTGAATTACTTTGAGTGTTTATTTGCTAAGAAAAATATCACATTTCATAGTCCTGTGTTTCACCTGGAAAGCCCTATTGTTATTTTCCAGTGGCCACAGCAGAGATTTAATATCAAGAATGGTGGTAGGAAAAAAAAATGGTGATAGAGCTTTTATCTCAATCCAAGACTTTATCACTTTGAGAAATGCTTACTTCACTAGTACATATTATTTCAGAATTAGTTTGAGAGTCTAGTATGTGCCAGACACTGTACTAAATGCTGGGAAATTACAAACTGAAAGTACACGTTTGCATTTGTGGATGTGCAAAAGCTTACAGTCTGGAAGGAGAGGAGACAAGCAGATAATTAGATGCCTTTCTGGCATTAGGTATCCCAACAGGGCCAGAGCAGCAGGGAGTCAGGCCCTGAAGGAGAACATGATCTAGTAGGTTTCCAGAGGTACACTTGAGCTAAGTCTCAAAAAATGTGTCTGATGGTGGTTGTGTAACTGTAAATACACTAAAATGTACTGAATTTTGTATTTTAAATGGGTTAAGGGTAAACCTCACAGTATGTAAATTGATCTCGATGAAGCAGTTTTTTTTTAAAGTGTACAGAAACTGGGTCAAACACACAAGAGGGGGAAAACATCCCAGAGAGAGAGAAGAGCATGGCAAATGCAAGGAGATGTGAACCATCACGACGAGCAGAGGGGCTGCCAGTCTCTGGGTGACTGGAATGCAGGGTAGCTGTGGATGGCTCAAGCATCCAAAAGGGTTTAAGCAACAGAATCACAGAAGCAACTTCATTTTCATGTAATGGCCCGAATCCAAGAGTCTCAATGACATTCTGGGCACCTTCTGGTTTTTTGTTTTGTTTTGCTTTGTTTTTAACTAAAAGTCCTTCCTCTGCCAAGTCTAAGATGGGGAAGAAACATGAAGAGAAGAAAGAACCCATATGCCCAAGAATCAGAACAAAAAACACATTTTCTAGAAATCATTTGGGTCATCTCTCTGCTTCTAGGCAGGCTTGTTAAACTAACCCAGAGAGAGAGGAAACTGTTTTGTCCTTAAAGATCCCTACAGAAGGAGATTCCAAGTGGGACATGCTTTAGGCTAAGAAAAAGCATTCTCTGTCAGGTGTGGTGGCTCACGCCTGTTATACCAGCACTTTGGGAGGCTGAGGTGGGCAGATCACAAGGTCAGGAGTTCGAGACTAGCCTGGCCAACATTGTGAAACCCTGTCTCTACTAAAAATAAAAAAAAAATAGCTGGGTGTGGTGGTGTGCACCCGTAATCCCAGCTACTCAGGAGGCTGAGGCACGAGAATTGCTTGAACCTGGAAGGCGGAGGTTGCAGTGAGCCGAGATCGCACCATCACACTCCAGCCTAGGTGACAGAGCAAGACTCCATCTTGGAAAAGAAAAAGAAAAAGCATTCTCTGAAGGCCTTTTGCAAATCCAACCACACGTGGAAAGCCCCTAGGAGAAGCGGAATGCCCTCCCAGCATTCTGACCTCTTCGTGCCGGTCTAGTGACACAAAGCATGGATGTGAGTCCCTTGTTTCTTTAGTCACCCAGCCCAGAATGCCCAGAGGAGTTAAATATCACTTACATGGCACCTGGTGATCGGGACTTCCAGGACAATAGTTCCATGGAGCATGTGGGGAAATATTGGCAGGTAGCATCTGTGCACATGCTGGATACCTCTGAGGTTCAAACTGAGGGAACTCCCTGGACCTGAGAGGTCTGGGGAGGTCCTGGGGGTAACATATGGAGGTCAGGGGCAGAGGCCTTTCCAGCTGCCTGATGCCCAGGACATCCTGGGGCTGGGAATCATATCCCGTGTCTATGGTTGGCAGATCCAGGCCAGCTCGGGGCTGGGGCCGTTGCACCATCTCCTGGCTACTGCCCAAGGAGTCTTCCGAGGCATTAGGTAAACTTTGGTCCGATTTGTCTGAGTCATGGCCAGTGTCAGGAGAAGCTGCTGAAAGCTGAGATCCCAGCCATTGATTACGTTTTTCCATAAATGAAAACTGATGCTCTGCAGGAAGGGCTCCAACCACAGACTCCGGCTCGCTGACTGCAGAGGACCCAGAGGGGAAAGCTTTGCCTGGGTCTGGGTGTCTCCTGCAGAAGCTGTCTTCACTGTCCTCCAGAACTTGAGTGTACAGGCAGGTGACCTGCTGGGATACAGGCCACTGGTGATTTGCAAGTTTCAGGGTTGGGTGAGCTTGAGAACTGAGAGGCGTTGTGGGTGCAGACAAGCTGTTGGGTGCCATGTTCCTTATATTCGGAGCAAGTGGTTCTGATTCCTCTTCCAGGGAATATTCTGGGATTGGTTTCAGCAACTGACTTGGGTATGGTTCTGATTCATCAACCTCCACAGGAATGCTTCGGCTCATTCTAGTTTCTGGAACAAGAGAAAACATGCCACAGCCTTAGAAGACAGATCAATTCTTGGAGTCCTCCTTTTATGACCTTAAGGACCTGGTTCAGGATGTGGTTTAAATTAATAGTGAGACACCAATGTGCTTGCAGAGTCCTAATCACATACAATTGTTTACTTATCCTCCAGGCAAAAGCACTAAGGCTTATTAAGATATTTTATCCGGAAGGCAATTCAAAGAATGTGATTGGACGATCCTGTGGTAGAAATCATTCACCAGCAAGGGGAAAACACAGATGAAAATCAACTGCCAAGTACTGAGGAAAGAGAAATTATCATAATGTGGGCTGCTTTGTGTGTGCTTGGAATACATGATGAAATAAATCTGAGTAAGTGATATGGAATTGGAATGATCTCTAAGATATATTGAGTTTTAAAAAGGCAGGCACAGAGCAATGTGGATACTATGCTGCTATTTTATGTAAAAAAACGAGAATGTGTGTATATGTGCATATCTGCTTGTATATGTATAAAACATGTAGAAGATACACAGACATTGCTACATTGGTTGCCTTTGAGGATGGAAATAAGCTGGGGGAGAGGAGTGAGAGGAAGAGTTTTCACCTTTTGAACTTTAATTTTGTTCCATTTGACTATTGCCTAATTTTAAAAAATAAATAAAAGGTTTTTTTTTAAAGCAAAAAAAGAAAGCCCAAGTTAAAAAAAAACACATTGAAAAAAGGTCAGAGTGACATTTTCTACCTAATAATTTTAGGTCATTTGGAGGACTTAATTCCCTCTGGGCACTATGCCTGCAACAGAGGTAGACATGACCATCTGGCTTGTGATGTAGTAGAGCCAGCAAGGCTCACTAAACTAGACCTTAGCCTGTAGAGCATTTAGCCCACAGTCCAGGCAATATTGCTTTTAGCTATAAGAAGAACAACTCTTAATTAACCTAACACAATGAGAAAGAAAACCAGCCTCCTCTTCTCATTCAACTGCTTGAGGTGATGCCTTGACCCCAGTGAGAGGAAGAAGGCAGTCGAGGGACGAGGCTGCACAGTAGCAACTGGGGGTTTGCAGGAGGCTGCAGAGTAGGTGTGTAAAAGTGCAAGCAAGTGAAAAAGAAATCCCAGAGGGTTATTCTATGCCAGGCTTGTACATGGCATACTTCAAATACCAGAGAGAGGGAAGGGATTGGGTCTGGATTTTAAAATTCCTACTTTGAATCCAATTCGCATTTCAACCACAAACATTCACTGACGGCTCACTGTGCCTAAAGTCAGATTACATAAATTACGGTTCTAAGACAAGTTTCAGAGAGCATGCATTCGCTTTCCCTTGCACCCTGTACCCAATCCAATGGGATCATGAGAGCATTTTGAAATGCTCCCCCTTCACACAGATAGGGCCAGCAGCAGTATGCCACCAAATGTACTTAACAGCCTATAAAAAGATACTTCACCACTCCCTGCCAAATGAATGCTCTTTGACACTCTTCTCCCACTTGTATCAAACTTACCCACCTGCTGCACGATGACCCTTGCTCTGTTTTCTGACACAACAGAAAACTCAGCTTCTAATTTTGGGCTGGCTCTCCCTCCATCTCGCCATCTCTCCCTTTCCCTGCCCTTGTCCTTTTCAGGCTGTGTGTCCTTTACTCATTGGCTCTGCAGAAAAGGAGACCTCATCAGGTAAAGTGATCAGACCTCATAAAAATGAACAAGTTCTGAGACCTGCCCAGCTGTAGAGACCCCCATCCAGGTGGCGCTGAAGGCATTAAGCAGCAGACACCCAGACAGAACACCAGAGTGGGACTATCCGGTGGGCCAACAGCCTTCCAACCTGAGAGCCTCAGACGGCTGACAGCGTTATGGGCTGAAGGCCTCAAGCAGATTCTGACCCACATAACTATTCTCTCTGAACAGTTCTATCTGAACAGATGATTATTATTAACAAACGGGTGTTCCGTGTTTTCTCATAGAACCAAGATAAACTAGGTAGGCAGCTGGTGCCTGCTTACCAGCCATCAAGAACAAACTATAAAGTATTCTCCACAAGGGAGCCATGGGGATACTGTTTTGCTACTTTAGAATGCCCCAGGTAGTTTTCCACTTGTGTGGCGAGGCGGAGGCGGGGGTGTGGGTGTGGGTGGGGGTGGGGGTGGGGCGGGGGCGGGGTTTTCCTTGCTATCATTCTCAGCAAACAGTATAATTTACCAAACACTCAGCATTTCTCAGCAAACCAGAGCCTACCAAAAAGACCCATAAATATCACAACTTTTTATTATTTAAAAAAAGTTCACCATTTTTTCCCTTTCTTTCTTGTAATTTTTCCACAGTTATGAAATTGCATGTGCCATACAACATGCTCTTCAGCTGGTTGGAAAACAAAAGTCTTTTTTTCAAGGCCTGGCTGAGTGTTGTGTCATCTTCCACATGCACTGTGTGCCCACAGCTGAACGGGAGGCAGAGAGATGCAAAAAGTAAGCTGACTAGCAGGACTACTTCCTGTCCTCTCCTTACTGTCATGGGATTTGCTTTCAATCCTCACCTTTCAGGTAAAACTATTTACATTCTTCCTGGATTTTCCAATGTAAATACCTTAGAAGTGCTTTTCTACCCAAAGGAAAGGAAGTTGCAAATTCTACTCTTCTAGCTAAAGAGCCAATAGGGACTTGGAGGAGGCTTTAAAAAAAAAAGTGATGAGCCCGTCTTCTCACATACCTGGAAATCTGAGGTCATCCTCTGGTGGGAACTGCACGGTTAAAACTGGTCTGGGGCTGGGTGTGGTGGCTCGTACCCGTAACCCCAGCACTTTGGAGGCTGAGGCAGGAGGATTACTTGAGCCCAAGAGTTCAAGACCAGCGTTGGCAACATAACGAGACCCTGTCTCTACAAAAATTAAACAAATTAGCAAGGTGTGGTGGCGTGTGCCTGTAGTCCCAGCTACTCAGGAGGCTGAGGTGAGAGGATCACTTGAGCCCTGGAGGTCCAGCCTGCAGGTGAGCCGAGATTGTGCCACAGCACTTTGGCCTGGGTGACAGAGCAAGACCCTGTCTCAAGAAATAAAAATAATTTTTAAAAAACTGGTCTGGCCAGGCATGGTGGCTCACACCTATAATCCCAGTGCTTTGGGAGGCCAAGACAGGTGGATCATCTGAGGTCAGGTGTTCAAGACCAGCCTGACCAACATGGTGAAACCCTGTCTTTACTAAAAATACAAAAATTAGCTGGGCATGGTGGTGCACACCTGTAATCCCAGCTACTTGGGAGGCTGAGGCAGGAGAATTGATAGAGCCCTGGAGGCGAGGGTTGCAGTGAGCCAAAGTCACACCATTGCATGAGTGACAAGAGCAAAACTCTGTCTCAAAAGAAAAAAAAAAACTAGTCCAAAAAGGAACACATGGTTTTTGAATATTTAGTAAATAAACCTGGCATGGGAAGAAACAACTTCTAATAAAACTATGGAATTAGTAATCTTCAAAAAACAAAATGGACCCTGGTGTTTCAAACATGTCACTATCAAATACTCAAATAGCAGGTAATTAAAGATTCCAACTATGTGTCCAACTCAGTGCTGTGTATCCCCCTTCTGAGGCACAAGCCCAACAGAAATAGTTTTTGTACTTTTTAAATAACCACAAGTGATACAAAATTCAACAGGTACAAAAGGGTATGCAGTGAGAGATAATCACAGTAATTTCTGAAGGCACAGAAAACATTCTTTCTACCTTCAAGTTGCTGTGATCCAGCCTAAGAGAGGAAACTAAGTAACACGCAGAAAACCCACAGCCGGCACCTTAGTGCTTGTTTTACAACTCTTGCCCGAACGTTCTTCCCCTACACACAGCTGTTTGGCTCCCTTCCTTTCTCCTTCAGGTCTTTCCTCTACTGTCACCTCGCTGAGGTCGCCCGGGTCATGGTCTCTAAAATGTTTAAACTCTCTTCTCATTCCCATCTCCCTTCCCTGCTTTATCTTCTTCTCCAGCAGTTACCACTGTCTTATATATTACTCAAATGTATATGTTACACACAAATATCTAATAATCTCATTTGCTCATCGCCTCTCCCTTCTCCCGGAATATAAACTTTCTGAGGGGACGATTTTCTCTTTTCTTTTTCTTTGTGATATGGGGGTCTTGCTCTGTCACCCAGGCTGGAGGGCAGTGCCTAAATCATGGTTCACTGTAGCCTCAAAGTCCTGAGCTCAAGTGATCCTCCCACCTCAGCCTCCCAAGTAGCTAGAACTATTTACAGCTATATTCTCAATGCCTAGAACTACATCTGGCACATAGTAGGTGCTCAATAAAGATTTATTGAATGAATACATAATTGATGCCTATTTCAGAGCAGGGACAGGTCCATGTAGCTGGATTAGTGACCACGAGAATGTTGTCAACAACAGTGTTGAGTAGAAAGGAGTATCTGGCAGACCTGGTCCTCAGTTCTTAAAATTATGCCACATGGGTGACCCTTCCCTCTTCTTTTTTTTTTTTTCTCTCACGAACATTAAATGCCCACTACGGTCAAGCACCCAAGGTAGGTCTGGGCCATGCCCAAAGGTCCTGCCCATGGGCAGGATTGACCACAACCCTTACTTGCAGAATAAAGGTGATGCCATCAGCCAGTGTGACGGGAGCATCTGCTCTTAGATTCCAGGCAGGGAGGGGCCGGTCTTCATGCCTCTGCAGAGCTCCACCCAGAAGAGAAAAGGGTGGGGCACGCCTGCCACTGCCACATGGGCCCCTTCCAGCCCCAGCCCCTGCCTGAACTGGCAGAAAAAGAGCAACCCTGATGACTCTCCCGAGACAGTCACAGAGAACAGCAGTTACCACTGTCTTATATATTACTCAAATGTATATGTTACACACAAATATCTAATAATCTCTAATAAAACTACAAATGCCACAAAGGGGGCCACCGGCAGATTGATGGGTTATGGTCAGGGATGGCAGTTTTATCTCTTTTGTCTTTCATGTCAATAGTGTAAAAATACTAAATATTAAAAAATAATCACTCAGTATCTCACCACTGTATTTTTAAAATACGAAAAAGCATTCCACAGAGGGTGAGAGCGTGTACCCGGAGTAAGCACGGGTGAGCATGAACTGGGGACAGAGGCGGCTTCTGGGGCATACAACCGATGGAACAGCTGTGCATGTGAGCCTGGTTCTTGCTTATTCTGACCCAAGCCGTTTTTCTGGTTTTCCATTTTTTTCCCAGGCTTTCTCCATATTTATATGCTTGTAACCCTGGCATAGCCTTTGCTCTAGTCTCTACCAGAGGGTGACACCTGGATTGAAGTGGAAAAGCCTTGTTTTCCAGCCATGACCTAGGGAGAAAGCATTGACTCCTCAGGGGAACAGGAGACCTGCCAGCTAGGACCCTGGGATCCCCCATGCTGGTAGCACCCTGGGTGGTCTCAGGCTCACCAGCACTTCGGCAAATCCTGGTGGAAAGGGGGCTGGAGGGCGAGGAAACCCAGGAGAGTTCCTGGCTCAGAACTCTTCTCTGAGGCTCCAGATACTGATGCCCAGGCCCCACACCCAGAAACTCTCAGTATTTTTGTTTATGGTATGTAAAATATTAGTGTATTTTTGTTTAAGTCTCACAAGTAAACAGGTCATACTTTGCCAAGGGAAATGTAATCTGTGCAATTTGGTCATGACTATTAGAATTTTAAAAGCTTATGCCCTTTGACCTAGTAATTTCACTTCTAAGAATTTCCTCTGTAGAGAGATATATTTTGGTTTTTTTTTTGAGATGGAGTCTTGCTCTGTCACCCAGGCTGGAGTGCAGTGACGCGATCTCCACTCACTGAAACCTCTGCCTCCCAGGTTCAAGCAATTCTCTGCCTCAGCCTCCCGAACAGCTGGGATTACAGGCACCTGCCACCACACCTGGCTAATTTTTGTATTTTTAGTAGAGGCAGGGTTTCACCATCTTGGCCAGGCTGGTCTTGAATTCCTGACCTCGCAATCCACCCACCTTGGCCTCCTGAAGTGCTGGGATATGTATATCTTGTGAGAAATGAAGAGGCTATGAAGACAGGCAACGCAGCCGCGTTCATAAGAGCTAACACTGGACATGGCCCACGGCTAAAGGTTCTGATTTTTAAAGCTGTAGTATATCTGTACAATAAGCACTCCACGTCCTTTAAGAAAGAATGAAGAAAGGCTGTGTGAACTCAAATGGAACTATCTCTAAGATTTATTAAGTTAAAAAACTCAAGAGTGGCACAGTGTGTAGGGTATGCCACCCTTTGTATGATAGAAGGTCGTATGTCTGCCATCTCAAAAGAAATGAGGAACAGTGTTGCCTCTGGGAAAAGAACCAGATGGCTGGGAATGGGGTAGCAAAGAGCTTTGCTTTTCAGAACATTTTATACCATTTAAGTTTTGTAACAAGTGCATCTATATAGACTTAAAAGATAAATAATGAAAAGGAAAGGCTCTGCTAGTGATTCTGATGCTTACAAAGATTAAGAACCAATGCAAATGAGTAACTCATGAGACCACCCAGGAGAGAGTGAACGTATTTCTTCAAATATAAAAAATCCATTCAGCAGGGGATGAGAACATGTGCCTCGGGTCCACAAGGGTGGGCACAAGCTGGGACCGAGCTGATTTCCAGGGACATACAACTAAACCCCAAAGATGACAGTAGCTTTTCTTTTTTTATTTTTGAGACTAGGTTTTGTTGCCCAGTGATGTAATCATGGTTCAATGCCGCCTTGCCCTCCTGGGATCAGGTATTCCTCCCACCTTAGCCTCCCATGTTGCCCGGTTATTTATTTATTTATTGTAATGACAGAGTCTCACCATGTTGCCCAGGCTGGTCTCGAATTCCTGGGCTCAAGGAATTCTGCCTCAGCCTTCCAAAGTGCTGAGATTACAGGCGTGAGCTACCGCACCCAGCCTGACAACAACGTTTCATCTCTGGACTCTCATCACCATTTGGACTATGAGCTGTGGTTCTAGCTCTTGGATCTGTCAGGCATCTTTCCTCAAATCTCCGTCAGTTTCTCCAGGTCCCTTGCTTTGTTTCCTTTTTGCCTCCTTGGGCCTGAGACCTTTCTCTGGGCTCCTCTACTCTGCCCTGAGCCACCTAGTTTTACAAATAATATCACATCCAGATGTCAGCAGCCCTGACATCCATGTGACAATGCTCCCTTGGTGTCCCAGTGACAGATTTTCCCATGCTTCACCCTCTTTCTCTCTTTGTACACAGCTCTCAGTCAACCCCCTTGAGCTGCCTCCAACTCTGCTCATATCTGCTCCCAGCAACCTTTTCCTCCTCTAGCACAATCTTCCTTAACTCACTAGTTTTTTGAAACAGAGCCTATTAGTCTTCACAACGCTACGTTTCTGATATCACAGTTCATCAAAAAGCTTTTTCTCCCATCATGCCTGCCTCCCTTTCTTCGGGTCTATCAGACTCCACCCTGGCCTGTACGGAAGCAAGTCTCTCCCAGGGCACACATGAACAGACTTAATGCCCACATTCAGAGTGAACTGTGGCTTCTGCCTTCCAGATGGGCTTACCCTAAATCAACACATATTTCCAGGGTGTGGGAAAGTATGCAATACTTAAATGCACAGGCTCTGGGTTCAGACTCCCTAGGGTTAAATTCTCCCTGTGCCAGCTAGCAGCATGATTAGATCTGTGGTCTTGACAAAGTTACCGAACTTCTCTGGGCCTCACTTTTCTCATCTGCAAAATAGGGAAAATAGCAACACTTCTCCACAGGGGTGTTGTGAGGATAAAGAGTAGATACAAATAAAGTGCTGAATGTAGAGCCTGGCCCCTATCAAGCTCTCAAAAACCAAGGGCTAGTTTCTAAATTTTTACCGCAACTACAACTGCAGTTGTTATCTGGCTTTGGAGCTCTCTTTTTAAAGGCAGTAGTCCCTGGTTTTACACTCAGGTGCTAATCCTATTCCACGAAGCTAATGTATAGAGACCATATCTTTTTAACGAACATGGGTATTTATGAGTCATTTCTGGCACATGATACACATCATCTCTGGTTCTTAAAACAAGCGTAGGCCATAAGCAGGGTAAGTGTTACCCCTTTGCCATTCCTGTTTGACAGAGGCTTAGACACATTGAGTAGCTTTCCCATAGTCACTTAACAAGTGATGGGTGAAGCCAAATCAAGCCTTTAGATCTTCAAGCTCTTTTCATTAAACCATATAAATCAGGGGCTGGCAAACTTTTTCTGCAAAGGATAGTAAATAGTTTATGCTTTATAGGCCACATGCTGTGTCTGTCTCATATTCTGCCTTTTTTTTTTTAAATAAAAAAACATCCTTTAGCCAGGTTCAGTGGCTCATGCCTGTAATCCCAGCACTTTGGGAGGGCAAGGTGGGTGGATCACAAGGTCAGGAGATCAAGACCATCCTGGCTAACATGATGAAACCCCATCTCTACTAAAAATACAAAATATGAGCCAGGTGTGGTAGCATGTGCCTATAGTCCCAGCTACTCAGGAGGCTGAGGCAGGAGAATCGCTTGAATTCAGGAGGCGGAGGTTGCAGTGAATCAAGATCGCGCCACTGCACTCCAGGCTGGGTGACAGAGCAAGACTCTGTCTCAAAAAAAAAAAAAAAAAAAGAAAAAGAAAAACATCCTTTAAACATATAAAAACCATTCTGAGCAATAGGCTGGTACTAAAAATAGGTTATGGTAAATTTTGGCTCTAGGGTTGTGGTTTACTGTTGATATAGATTATAGGCTGATAAGCCAAATACAAACCTAATGAAACTGATATACTTAAGAAACTACTCTTTGTTAGCAATCATTGTTAATATTTATTTAATGGTTACTACATGGGAAATGCTGTTACAAGTGTGATAGATGTATTAACTTACTTAATCCTCACAGCCACTCTATTTCATAGGTACTATCGTCAGCCCCATTTTACAGATGGGAAAAGCGAGGCATAGAGAAGGTAAGTAACTTTCCCAAGGTCACACGTCCAGTAAGTAGCAGAGCTGGGATTCAAATCTAAGCAGGTTGGCACCAGGTCCTGTGCACTTAACTGCTTGTATCTCAGTTGGGAGCACGGGCTGGTTCAGCTATTAGGAGGGAAAAAAGGGGGATGGGGAAGCCATGTAATCCCTAGAAGATTCGGGAATAAATATGCTTCAGAGCCATTCACCTTGAAACTGAGGAGGCATGGAAGCAGGCCACCTGTGTTCCGTACAGCATCGCCAGGCTGGAAATCTGCCATGGCTTTCCTTCACGCCATTACAATAGAGGATACAGATGAGGCTGCAGAGGCATCTTGATTTCAGAAAAGCACTTGATTGGATCTCATTAAATTTTAATCATAAACGGAATTCAAAATAAATTGAAAACTGGTTGACAGAGCACCAACAAAGGGTGATGATAAATGGTGATGCATCTAGAGGGGGCCCATCTTCCAGGGGACAACTCTAAGGCAAGGACGGATGGGATTTAATGAAGGTGTTATATCCCCGAAAGAAGACAAATAGCACAGCAAGGAACAGAGGAAGGGCAGGAGTGAGCAGCCTGAGTAATTAATAAACCATATTATCAGCTCTTCCATAATCAGGCCTCGGTGTTCACAACTGCTTAGATTTTTTTCTTAGGCTTTCTTTGAGTCAGGAATAGGTTTGAAGAGTCCTAGAGACACACAGCATGAATATTTCAGGTGGGCATAAAAAAGACATCTTTAAATTTACAACTGGGAGGATCCTGAGATCTACTTTGGATCAGAAACTCAATTATAAGATTCTCAAGGCCTCACTTCATTCCCCGGAGAATAATCTTTTAAATAAGTGTCCAAAAGTCATGGATTAAAAAAAAAAAACTTTAAACTCATTAATGTCCTTTGTTTACTGCCCAGATGCATGCAGACTTTCATAACACTGGTTTGCTTAGCAGAAGGTTGGTTTTAAGTGAACTGTTCGGCTCAGATTCAAACTCCAGTGAACAAATACTTCCCAGTTTACTTGCAGAATTTCCCAGACAGAGAAGTTCTTCCATTGGGCTTGCCAGAGGATTTGAAACAGTGGTGAGCCCTGGAAGGAAGGGAACATTCATTGGCCCTTGGACATTATCCAGCACAGTAAGACTCACATCAGGCCGAAGGCAGTGCAGTGTAAACTGACCTGAGTTAAGAAGTTTGCTGTGGGACTCCACTGAGCTACTAAACGAGGAGAAGGACTAACGGGAGCACACTGACTCCATCACTTTAGAAATTGTAATAAACATTTAGAGAACAACCTCAAACCAGCCCATGTTGGTTTTTTTTCTGTCGTCACTGTTTTTGTGTTTTTGTTTCTTCAGATAAGATGGTTTCTCTAAGCACACATGTGTGATCCCTAATTCAGCCCCGGCCACAGAGTGAAGGAGAGGAAGGGGTAGAAAGGAAGGAAGGAGAATGGAGAGAAGGAAAGTGGGGAAACGCTGAAAGATTTTTTGTATTTGCCCTTTATTGGTGTAGGAGAGATACTTACTTAACTTGTAATGTTTATGCAGTGCTGGGTATGAGAAGGGGCAGTTGGAAGGGAAGGGAAAGAATGAATACAGGTGAAAGGCAAGAGTCAGGGTAAGCTAAAAGGCCAGGAAGAGTTTGGACAGACAGCTCAGAGTAGGAAGAGAGGTCAGAGCTGGGAGGGAGACCTGTTGACTCTGGGAAGGGAAAAGGGAAAAAACATTGGCATCCTGACTGCAGGAAAACAATGAGGCAGCAGAGAGCCAAGTATCCCTCATTGCTGGGGGAACTGCCAAGACCCCAGGCAGTTAGATCTGTGGGTACGAGGAGAGGGGCACAGGCTGGGAGCTCTGGTCAGTCCTGGCCCTCCTAAAGGGCTTAAGTTGAGCTGCCTTATCAGGGAACCAAGCCAAACCAGCATAGCCCTAAGGATCACCCCACGGATTGAAGCCCACCCTGCTTCAGCCAGTCTGCAACTTCTGGTATCCAGGAAGGTCTGTGCATACACAAGGCGCGCACATACACAAGGCATGCACACACACAAGGCAGGCACACACACACAAGGCATGCACACACACAAGGCATGCACACACACAAGGCGCGCACACACACAAGGCATGCACACACAACTACAGAATGAGCTGAGTAGTCACAGTCACATGTATGCTCCTAGGAGGCTTGCTGGGCACGGGAGGCAAAGACAGTGGTAGAAAGGATAGCCTGGGTTTCATGAACTAAAAATATCTTGGTGACAACACATTGGGAAGAAACAGGAGAGGCCCAGAGGGGTGTCTTCTTGATTCCAATTCCCAGATGCTTTCTCACGGAAAGACTGCAGGATTGTTTTGATAAGGAAATGTGATCAAACATCAGGGGCCATTTCGTTGGATGTGAAAGGAATTTAAAGTTGAATGTGCCTCATCTGTGTTCTCTCTCTCTTTTCTGCAGCATTGCCTGCAATTCATATATGTTTTTAGAAGCTAATCTAAAATTGCCTGCAGCAGAAAAGTGATTTGAATTCAGGATATTTCTGAGATTTCCATTCTGCAGTGTGTAAAACATAGATTTAATTTAGACAAACTACCCCACCATAATCTTTCTGAATGCCTGGTAAAGAATGCCTGCAAATATGACGGTCTTCTCTTCTTTTTATTTTCAGAGCATCTGAAAGTCACTAACTCCTTAATCCCGGGAGAAGCAGGCTTTAACATTTTCTCTCTACACCCTCCAAAAATGAGTAACCCTGAGTTAAGAGCCTTTCTATCTGACATGTTGGTACGTTACCCAGATTCCATTCCTGTTTAGCCCACCCCACGCGATGAACAGAGCAGAGTAACTACATTATCCATCTCTTGATGCTTTGTCACGGCATGACTGGTAGCTGCAGCAGCAGATTAAGAATGGCTGTGGTGTGGCCTTTAAGGATTAGAGTGAGGCTGGCAAGCGCACAACAGTTAGCCTGCTTTCAGATAATGGCGCATAATTGTTTGAAAATAAAATCAGGAACTAACTGCAGGTGAAATATCTTGAAATTCCTGTCCTTTCATCCCAGGGGAATAGAGAGAAATGCTTAAAAACATGACATGGATATACTGGGACCTTGATATCCCACAGAAGCAGATTAGCAATACCAAAAACCCTGCATCAGCCTATCCCTGTCAGCTAGAGCCTGTCTGAACTGCATTGATGGCAAGTAATTGCCAAAAAGAAGAAATAACACTTGTTTTTTAAGTTATGGTCTAGAAAAGGTTAAGGATTCTGTGTATCCGCCATCTAATAATGTGTCTAATCACAGTCATCACCCTTACATGGTATTAGGATGTGTTTCACAATTTTCCCTTCCCCTCCCATTAAAGGCCCCACACACAGTGACTGGTCCTGCTACAGCAGTAACTCTGGCTTCTGGAGCTGGGCTTGTCTGCCAATTCTCTTGCCTGCCTTGACTCTGTGGGCAATATAGCACGATGATCCTTCCTGGGTAACCCAGATGGAATATGAACTAATTTGAGAAACTCCCTGTTTTCTCCTATTTGGTTAGAGCCAATAATAAGGCCTTAATTCCAGGCAGCTCTCCCACAGAGCCACGTGTCCCCCAGCCTCTCACCCTGACTGCTACTTTACCTCTAACTCAAAGCAGCTGACATGGAAGGGATGCGAGCACCTACCAAGCATTTGGTACCATGCTGGATTCTAGGGGGTAGAAACGTATCAGGAAACAAAGTCCTTTTCCTCAAGGGGCTTACCAACGGGTAGTGGGAGGTAAAATTAAAATATGTGAATAATCAGTGAACAAAACAAGTCTTGAAAAGCACCCATTACCGCTACCCCTATGGGACTATCCTGGCTTTGTTTTATAAGGGATTTGACTCACTCATGTTAGTTCACCACCCCCCATCAATTTACTGATGAAGAAATCCAGGCCTAGGGGAGTCAGAGTGAATTGCCTCAGTCACAGAACCACAAGAAGTGAAGAACAGGGAACCAACTTTCTTGTCATTTTAAAAAATGATTTGGCCTCTTGTTCTCCTGTTCAAAAAAAAAAAAACAAACCCTATTCTAAGATACCATCTTGAACTTGAAAGTCACAAGAAGCGTGATTAGCTTCTAAGATCAAGTACTGGCATTTCTCCCCCTTGTTCCCAAAGGCTCCGTGGAGCGCCAGAATGGGAGGGCTGGAGGGCGGCTGCGGAGAGGGCCCGGGAGGCGGCTCACAGCCAGCACACAGCTCCGCAGAACTTCCTGGCCCAAGAATGTGCTGTTGGTTCTCCCGCCCACCCCCCCTCCACCCCGCGCCGCCACCGCCCTGCACTAAACAGGGATCGAGAAAACTCTGCCACTGACGTGTTCTGGAGCTGAAAGCCAATTACTTAATCTTTGCCATCCCTGGCTCTCTCCTTGGAGAAGTGGGGCTTGAATTCTTAATGGAAACTTATGGGGACACTAAGTACCCACACAAAGGGTTCCCAGGCAGCTCCGAGCTGTCCTGTGTGCGGCCTCCTCTCCTCAAAGGGTTAACCCTGCGGGGCTCTCGGGCCTGAAATACTATACCAGCAACACACCCTCGCGGCACAAACTTCACTGTCAATTTCTCAGCTAAGATGGTCTCTGTGCGATTAAGGTAAAGACGGGGAGAGGAAAACAGAGGAAGGCAGAGGCAGAACATTTCAGTAAAGGAGAAACAGCGTGTTTTGGAAAATAGGTCAGTGGTGAAGAAATAAGGCCAAGCAAGTGACAACTCGGAATAACTTACCTTAGAACCACCACGGACAGACAGACCGGGCCCAGAGGGTGGTCGGCTCTCGGCGGCTACTAGTCTCTCCACCTTGGGTCGCCCTCGGCCTCCCTCCACCCTCTCCGGGCCCAGGTAAGTAGAAGAACAGGCTCTGAAGCAGGAAGTGGAAGCTGTATGCAAATTTCTACGGAGCCTAGGAAGCCTCTGCTCAAAATCTCCCTGTGGGCAGTGAATCAACGGCTGAGGAGTCACTTTATTTCTTAAAACAGAAACCTCCTTCATTCACGAGAAAGGGCCAGTGACCAATTAGGCGGCATTTTTGCTTTCACCACCCAGCTAAGAAGAGGCCCAGGAGTGGCCCGAACCTCCGTGTAGTCGCAGTGCCCTCGCCTGGGAGGGTGTCTCCGGGAGGAGAGTGAACTTGAGTGTTAAGACTGAGGAATCAGGGCCGGGCGCGGTGGCACACGCCTGTAATCCCAGCACTTTGGGAGCCCGAGGCGGGTGGATCACTAGGTCAAGAGATCGAGACCATTCTGGTCAACATGGTGAAACCCCGTCTCTACTAAAAAATAACAAAAAATTAGCTGGGTGGCGCGTGCCTGTAATCCCAGCTACTCAGGAGGCTGAGGCAGGAGAATTGCCTGAACCCAGGAGGCGGAGGTTGCGGTGAGCCGAGATCGCGCCATTGCACTCCAGCCTGGGTAACAAAAGCGAAACTCCTTCTCAAAAAAAAAAAAAAAAAAAGACTGAGGAATCATTAGCAGCTCCAAAGGAGCAAAGGAGGGGATGGGGTGGGTGTAGGGGGACAAAAATGGGAGGAAGAGGGAGCCGAGCTTCTACCATTCTCCTCTAACTGCTTAAAACTTTAGCATTTGCTGCCCATAACCACGGAGGTGGGACTCACCATGCTCCTGCACACACGTGTACACATATGCACACACATGCCTGTGGCCTGTGCACACACACCACCCTATTGTCAGGCACAGAAAAGTAGTTAATTTTAAGAAAACACACACACACACACACACACACACACACACACACATACACACAACCCTCCTCTAGATGCATTTTCCATGACCTCAAGTTTATTTTCTCCCCTTCTTTTCCCATTGTTTAATAGTAGCCTGCAGAATTAACTGTATAAAGGAGTGCTGCAGTCAGGATGATACCCAGCGACGTGTGGAGAGAGAGAGAGAGAGAGAGACAGAGACAGAGACAGCTGCCTCTCTGGGCAGCAGTGGGTGATGGGAGCAGTGTTAGCTGGAGCTTTGGAGTTAGGGGGACCTGGGTACGAACTCAGCCATGTCACTGGCCAGCTGGGCACCCTGGGCAGGCACATCGTGCTCCTGGTGCTGGACTTGTCTGCCTGATGAAGGGGTCCCAGCGTCAGCCCACTCAGTCAGCTATCTCTTTACTCTCATCAAAGGGACAGGTCCCAGAGCAAAGCTGTCCAGAGTGTACCAGGTTCTGCTAAGGAGGACAGGAACCAGGTTGCTCAACATTCCACAAGCAGAGAAAATGCAGCTTGTTTTTAAGATAGCATACACAAGTTGCATGCATTTTGGTATGTCCTTAAAACAGAATATGATGCAGTTTTTCAAAATCAGTATGTATGTATTATCTGAGCCACTAACATGAAAAAGTGGCTCTGAGATATTATTTAACATAAAGTATTATCTTATTTTTTGCTAATATCTGTGACATATACACACACATATATATGTATATCGATTTTTTTTAAGAGACAGGGTCTCAGTCTATTGCCCAGGCTGGAGAGCAGTGGTGCAATCATAGCTCACTGCAGCCTTGACCTCCTGGGCTCAAGCAATCCTCATGCCTCAGTCTCCTGGGTAGCTGGGACTACAGGTGCATACTGCCACACCTGGCTAATTTTTTATTTTTTGTAGAGACAGGGTCTCCCTGTGTTGCTGAGGCTAGTCTTGAACTCCTGGTCTCAAGGGATCCTCCCACCTTAGCCTCCCAAAGTGCTGGGATTATAGGTGTGCACCACTGCACCCAGCACAGCATCGAGATTTGTATTTGTTCACCACTGGGCCCCAGGGCACCTAGCACACTGCCCTGCCTAGAACACTGTAGGCCATCACTATATATCTGTCCAGTGACCAAGTTAGAAATATCTGGAAACATGCTCGCCAAACTGTTTAGTGATGCTCACTTCAAGGGAACGCAATTGAGGAAAACTGGTGAGGATGGAGGGGAACTTTACAATACATACATCATATGGACTATTTGATTCCTTTTTCAAAATAACATATAGGATTTTTTCATTCAAAACAATGAAGTTTTTAAAAAATAATATTTATTATCTTGGCTTTGAAGTTTCTGCTTCAAAATTATTATTAGAATCATCGTTTGAAGGTAGGAAAAATAGCATTCTCTGTAGTCCAGTTGGTACCAGGATACTTTGAAAGAGCTACTGGAGTTATGAAATGAGAAGAGAAAAGCAAAGAAGAATGGCAAGGGGAGGAGCTAGGAGGGATAGTGAGGGGAGGGGGAGTGGAAATATTTTCATTTCTCTTTGTTGCCCTTAAATGGATTGAGAAAGGCCTGAAGATGCTCTGCCCGATTCCCACTTCTGAAATACAACCCGCCAGGGACAACGAAGGGAAACATTTTTCCAGTTCTCGACCAACTGTTTTCCTGGCTGTGAGACCTGAGGGCCCTGTGGGAAGAACACCCAGTGCCGAAAGCTGCTTTTCATTGCTGTTGGCTGGTCCTTCCTCCTATCTAATTTTTTTTTTTTTGAGATGGAGTCTCATTCTGTTGCCCAGGCTGCAGTGCAGTGGTGCGATCTTGGCTCACTGCAACCTCTGCCTCCTGGGTTCGAGCGATTCTTATGCCTCAGCCTCCTGAGTAGCTGGGATTATGAGTGCCCACCACCACACCCAGCTATTTTTTTGTATTTTTAGAAGAGACGGGGTTCACCATGTTGACCAAGCTGATCTCGAGCTCCTGACCTCAGGTGATCCACCTGCCTCCTGTCTAAATTTATCATAAGCAGAAAGGCAGGCACCTGGGGAATTAGTTCATGGCTCCCTTCTAGAAGCCTTTGCTGGGGCCCTGGACTGAAAAGCACCCTGAGGATGAATAGTGTTTAGAGAGGGTGTCCTGGACAGGAGAACCCTCCTCTGAATCTGCCTGAAGCATTTACAGTGAAGTACGGGTGACCCAGGCAAACACATACAGCTTTTGAGTTGCTGTCATGGGGGAACAACTCTTCACTGAGGTCCTCCCCTCCACTCCCTTTGAGCATATTTCATCCTCCAAACAGTTCTATGAGGTGCATTCACTATCATTCCCACTTTACCTTTGAGGATTCCGGGGCTCAGAGATACTGAGTAACTTCTGCAAGATCACACAGCTCATCTGTGGAGGAGACAAGCCCACAGCAGTCTCCCTTCCAGGTGGATGTTATTACTGTCCCCTCCCTGTGTCCCAACACAGCCCCCCAATCCCTACCCTCCATTGCCTTGTTGCCATCTATCTTCCTACGTGCTTGGGTGGAGCACAGGTAACTTGTTTTCTTTGCACAACTCTTGACAATGCTCAAGAAAGGGAAAAAAAGTATAGACAATAAAAGGGTGGGGCTGTGACTGTGCCAGTCAGCCTGGTGCTGTGTTTATATGGTAAGGGTTACTGTAAAGATAATAAGTAGAATAGTCAAGATGTGGGTCAGTCTTCTCCCTCCTGTTAGAAATCTAGAAGGGCAGCAATTGTGTTTGCCAGATCCTAGAGTTTGCTCAGTGAATTAGTCAGGGGTCTGCAGAGAGAGAATCAATAGGATTACCACCAAGATTATGGAGGCTGAGAAGTCCTGTTGACACACTGTGTGCAAGCCAGACACCCCGGGATGCTGGTAGCATGGCTCAGTCCAACTCTGAAGGCCTCAGGACCAGGAGAGCTGATGATGTAATTCTCAGGCCAAGGTCAAAACCCTGAGAATCCAGGGGCCACTGGTGTAGATGCTGGAGTCCGAAGGCTTGGGAGCCTGGAGTCCTTGTGCAATAACAGAAGAGGAAGGGTATAACCCTGTTCCAGCAGACAGATCGACCCGTTCACCTTTTCTCTGATTTTATTCTCTCCGGACTCCCAGCAGATTGAATAGTGCCCACTCACATTCAGTGCGGCTCTTCCCCACCTAGTCCACTCAGACTCATGTGCTAATTTCCTCTGGAAACACCCTCACAGGCACACCCAAAACAAATGCTTTACTAGGTTTCCAAGCATTCCTTAATCCAGCCAAGTTAATACCTAACCATCACACTCTGTCATCGTCAATTCCAGCTGCTGTAACAGAATGCCGTAGACTGGGTGGTTTAAACAACAGACATTTGTGTCTCATAGTACAGGAGGCTGGCAAGCTCACGATCAAAGCACTGGACAATCTGGTGTCTGGTGAAGTCTTACCTCCTGGTTCATGAGTGGCCATCGTCTCATTGTGTCCTCACATGGCAGAAAAGGGGCTGAGGAGTTCCCTGAGGTCCCTTTTATAAGGACACTAATCTCATTCATGAGGTCTCCACCTTATGACTTAATTACCTCCCAAAAGCCCTTATTTCAATACATGAGTTTTGGGGGGATACAACATTCAGTCTATAACACTTAGTATATTAGTCCGTTTTCATGCTGCTGATAAAGACATACCCAAGACCAGGTAATTTATACAGGAAAAAGGGTTTAATAATCTTAAAGTTCTGTGTGGCTGGGGAGGCCTCACCATTATAGCAGAAGGCAAGGAGGAGCAAGTCACATCTTATATGGATGGCGGCAGGCAAAGAGAGAGCTTGTGCAGGGAAACTCCCCTTTTTAAAACCATCAGATCTCATGAGACTTATTCACTCTCATGAGAACTGCACGGGAAAGACCTGCCCCCATGACGCAGTTACCTCCCACCAGGTCCCTCCCACAACACATGGGAATTCAAGGTGAGATTTGGGTAGGGACACAGCCCAATCATATCACTTAGTATTTTTAAAAAAGGCATGAGAAGATAAAGAATATGTTATCCCACTCCCATAAACAAAGCCAACCAAACCATTTGGATCTAATGCTTAGAAACTCTATTCTGTAGCATTAATCTATGTAAAGGGAAAGGATTAATTCCTTGGACAAACCTTGATTTTACATTTTTAAAAGCTGTAACTTCAAGTACTGAAAAGGCAAAATGATACCATGACATTTCATGGGGAAGAGAAGACAATTACTATCATGTTCTTCCCTGTGAAGGACCCTTGTCCAAAGGGTCCAGTGTGCTCAAACACCAACTGGCTAACTCTCCCCACAACCCCTCAGTGGACAGTCACTGCTAGGGTCTGAATGTTTGTGTCCCA